CGATGCGGCCGCTGCCGGGAGGATAACAGAAATATAAATGGCGGCAGGGCACGTCGGCCTTGGGCGCGAGCACCAGCCCGGCGCAGCCCGAGAGGCCCGAGAGCGCCTCGGTGGTCTCGGTCAGCATCTCCTCGACCGTGCGGCCCGCCGCCTGGCATTTCCCCTCGATGCTGGCACGCTCGTCCTCGGTAAGGCGGCCCAACTCGAGCAGCCCGTCCACGTAGATCCGCATGCCCATCTGGGTCGGCAGCCGGCCCGCCGAGACGTGCGGCGCATAGAGCAGGCCGGCATCCTCCAGGTCGGCCATGACGTTCCGCACCGTGGCTGCCGACACCGGGGTGGAGAGTCGGCGCGAGAGCGTGCGCGAGCCCACCGGCTGCCCCGTCTCCATGAATTCCTCGACCAGGCGGCGGAGCACCTCCCGCGAGCGATCGGTCAGTTCGCGCAGCACCGTGCGATCCCGTCTTGTGATGGGCGGCCTGAATGTAGTGAGCGCCCCGGTGAGCGTCAACGCCGGCACCTGCACTGAATTTCGCGGCTTCGGGCGTCGATGGGGACCAGATGCATAACAGCAAAGGCATGGCGGAATGGACGCTCGGCATTGGGCCCGGCATTGTATTGGGCGGCCGACCGCTCTATGTTGGTGATGCGAAACTGCTAATGGACGGGCCGCGCCGAACCGCTCGCATAGCGAAGGCGAGGGCGGCGGCTCCCCGGCACCGAAGCCGGGTGGCAGCGGATGTGTCCAGTGATTCCGCACCTCGAAACCATGGAACGAGTCCGATGCGGCAGCTGCCTACCATCGAGCCGACCGCCCCCGCCGTGAAGCGGTCCGTCGCAAGACGAGACCGGCACGCGCCGGCCGGCGGACCCTGTTCGGCGCGGCGCCGCATCGCGTTCCCGCGGATGCGCTCAGCGGGGGCAGAGACCCCCGCGCGCTCCCGGACGGAGAAAATACAAGAATGGCCAAACGTATGCTCATCGATGCCAGCCACGCGGAAGAAACCCGCGTGGTCGTGGCGGACGGAACGCGACTAGAAGAGTTCGACTTCGAATCGGCTGCACGGAAGCAGCTCAAGGGAAATGTCTACCTAGCCAAGGTCATGCGCGTGGAGCCCTCGCTCCAGGCGGCATTCGTCGACTATGGCGGCAATCGCCACGGCTTCCTGCCCTTCAACGAAATCCACCCCGACTACTACCAAATCCCGGTCGAAGACCGGGAGGCGCTTTACGCCGAGACGGCGGAAGCCGTCGACGACGCCGACGAGCCAGCCGCCGCTCAGCCGGCGGCCGCGGAGGACGACGAGACTGAAAGCGAGGCTACGGCCGAAGACGAATCTCAGCCAGAGCCGGCGGACGCCTCCGAGACTGCCGAGGCGACAGCTGATGAGAGCGCCGCGCCGGGCAACGGTGTAGCGGACGACGGCAGCACCGGCGACGGAGCCACCGAGGGCACCGGCAATGGCGACGGCAGCGATGTCGAGATCATGGGCGGCGACGAGATGGACGACCTGGAACGCCGCCGGCTCCAGGCCAGCCGCTCCCTGCTCAGCCGCCGTTACCACATCCAGGAGGTGATCAAGAAGCGCCAGATCCTGTTGGTGCAGGTGGTCAAGGAGGAACGCGGCAACAAGGGCGCGGCACTCACCACCTACCTCTCGCTCGCGGGGCGCTACATCGTGCTCATGCCCAATGCGATCCGGGGCGGGGGCATCTCGCGCAAGATCGTCAACGCCGACGACCGCCGGCGCCTCAAGAAGATCATGAACGACCTCGATATCCCGGCGCGCATGGCGGTCATCGTGCGGACCGCCGGCCTTTCGCGCTCAAAGACCGAGATCAAGCGCGATCTGGAATACCTGTTGCGCCGCTGGCAGAACATCCGCGATCTCACGATGGAATCGACGGCACCCTGCGTGATCAACGAGGAGGCAAACCTGATCCGCCGTTCGATCCGCGACCTCTACACGCGCGATATCGAGCAGATCCTGATCGAGGGAGACGAGGGCTACAAGACCGCCAAGACGTTCATGAAGACCATGATCCCGAGCCACGCCGCGCGGGTAAAACCCTATCGGGACCGGATTCCGCTCTTCGTCCGCTATCAGATCGAGAGCCAGCTCGATTCCATGTACGGACCGGAGCTCCAGCTCAAGTCGGGCGGATACCTGGTCATCAACCCGACCGAGGCGCTGGTCGCGATCGACGTGAATTCGGGGCGGGCCACCAAAGAGCGCACGATCGAGGAGACCGCGCTCAGGACCAATCTGGAAGCAGCGGAGGAGATCGCGCGCCAGCTCCGGCTGCGCGACCTCGCCGGGCTGATCGTCATCGACTTCATCGACATGGACGAGAACCGCAACCAGCGGGCGGTGGAACGCAAGCTCAAGGAGGCGATGCGGATCGACCGCGCGCGCATCCGCATGGGCCGGATCAGCCCCTTCGGGTTGATGGAGCTCTCGCGCCAGCGGCTGCGCCCGAGCCTGGCGGAAGCGAGCATGGAACGCTGCGTGGACTGCGGCGGCACAGGGGTCCGGCGCTCGGTGGAATCGTCCGCGGTCCACGCGCTGCGAGCCATCGAGGAAGAAGGGCTGCAAGGGCGGAGCACCGAGATCCAGTTGCGTGTGCCGGCCGCCGTCGGCCTCTACATCCTCAACCGCAAGCGCCGGATGCTGGAGGAGATCGAGCAGCGCTACGATTTCGCCGTCAGCTTCGAGCAGGACGACAGTCTCGTGCCGCCGAGCTACGCGATCGAGCGGATCGCGGCCCGGACAGCGCCCATTGAACAGCCTGCCGAGGAAGGACACGAGCGAGGCGGACCAGCCCGACGGTGAGGCCACGGCGGAAACTGCGGAGCCCGCCAAGCGCCGCCGGCGCCGGCGGCGCAAGCCACGTGGCGAGGCCGCGGAGGGAACCGCCGCCGAAGCCGCAGCCACCGCAGAACCCGCGGAGTCGGCTCAAGCCGAAGGCGAGGCAGACGACAAGACGGAGGACGCGGCCGTCGCAGCGGACGGCACGGCCGAGGATGCCCCCCGTGCCAAGCGCAGGCGTCGCGGCCGGCGAGGCGGGCGCAGCCGCACGGCGAAGCAGCAGGAGCAGCAGGACGCGCCAAGCGAAACCCCAAGCGAGGCCGCAGCCGAAGAGGCTGAAGCGCCGGCCCTCGCGGCAGAGGGAGACGCTGCGCCCGCGCCGGCACCCGACAGCGAGCCGGTGGCGACGCCTCCAGGCCTCGCCACCGATGGCGCGACCGACCCGACGGATGGCGCGACCGGCGTCGCCGCAGACGAAGCGGAGTCGCCGCCCGCCCCGAAGCCTTCGCCCGAGCCGCCGGTTACGACTGAGCTACCGGCCGTCGAGGCCGCGCAGGCGAGCGTCGACGCTGCAGAGGCACCGAGCCAGGCCGGACCGGTAATAGCTGATCAACACGAGGCCTCCCCGGTCGACGACGGCGAAGATCAGGCCGACGCCGCCCCAATCGACGGGGACGAAGAAGCGCTTGCCGACGAGACAGCGCCGGCGCTCCTGCCGGACGACAGGCCCCGGCGCCGCGGCTGGTGGCAGCGGATCGCTTCATCGTCGCGATAGCTGGCGCAGCAACCCCGCCCGGCCGCCGCCGAGCGGCTCGGGCGGCTCGGCTCAGCCGGTTGGCGTGAGCCAGCGCTCGAGGGCAGCGCAGGCGCCTTCCACTTCCTCCGTGGCACCCGCATAGGAGAAGCGGACGAAGGCCCGGCCGCGCTCGGTGTCGAAGTCGATGCCGGGGGTCGCCGCGACCCCGCACTCGGCCAACATGCGCCGGCAGAAGGCCTCGCTGTCGCGGGTCAGGCCCGAGACGTCGGCATAGGCGTAGAAGGCCCCGTCGCAGGGTGCGAGCGCGCCGAAACCGGCGGCCGGAAGCGCCCGCTGGACGATGCTGCGGTTGCGGGCGTAACGCGCCACGTTGGCCTCCAGCTCGTCCTGGCAGTCGAACGCGACGAGCGCGGCCCGCTGCGAAAGGGCCGGCGGCGAGATGAAGAGGTTTTGCGTCAGCCGCTCCACTGCCCGCGCGAGGTCATCGGGCACAACCATCCAGCCGAGCCGCCAGCCTGTCATCGCGAAATATTTTGAGAAGCCGTTGATCACGACTGCGCTTTCGGAGAAGGCGGCGACGCTGGCCGCCGGTTCGCCATAGGTGATGCCGTGGTAGATTTCGTCGGAGACCACCCGGATGCCCCGGCCGTCGCAGAAGGCCGCAACCGCTTCTAGCGTGCGCCTGGGCAGCATGGTCCCGGTCGGGTTCGATGGGCTCGCGACGATCAGGCCCTGGATCGGCTTCTCCAGCGCCTCCAGCATCGCCACGGTGGGCTGAAAGCGGGTCTCCGCCGTTGTCGGGAGCAGCACCGGCTCAAGCCCGAGCGCCTGCAGCGTGTTGCGGTAGGCGGGATAGCCGGGATTGGCGAGCGCCACCCGTTCGCCGACGTCGAAGGCGGCGAGGAAAGCGAGCATGAGCCCGGCTGAGGCGCCGGTCGTGACCACGATACGCTCGACCGGCGGGGCGAAGCCGTAGCGTTCCTCATAGTAAACGGCGATGCGCTCGCGCAGCGGCAGCACGCCGCGGGCCTCGGTGTAGCCGATCTTTTCAGCGGCCAAGACCGCCTGCGCTGCGTCGAGAACGGGCTTGGGCGCGCCGGAGCCCGGCTCCCCCGTCTCCATGTGGAAGACCCGCGCGCCTTCCGCCGCGCGCGCTGTCGCGGCCTTGAGAATTTCCATCGCGAAGAAGGGCGCGACCGCCGCGCGCCGGGATGCCGCCATTGGCGTATCTTAGAGCGCCGCGAGCGGCACAAGCGCCACGATGACGTGAAGGGTCGACCATTGACGGAGGGCGCGCAAGCGGCATATCCAGACGCGAACCCCTCGGATTGTGAGCGTTGGCCATCCGTCTTGCACGCACCGCTGCGTTCGCCTGCGTAACGCTCGCCTTGATCCTGGCGGCAGTGGCGCCGGCGAGGCCGCAGGGCATGTCGCTCATTCGCGACGCCGAAGTCGAAGATATCATCCGCGACTATGCCGCGCCACTGCTGGAGGCTGCGGGCCTCGGTGACGGCGCGGTCAAGCTGCATATCGTCAACGATCCCAACATCAACGCCTTCGTCGCCGGCGGCCCCAATCTCTTCCTGAGCAGCGGCATGCTGGCCGCCGCCGAGGACCCCGGCGAGATCATCGGTGTGCTCGCGCACGAGATCGGCCACATCGCCGGCGGCCACCTGGTGCGTACACGGGACGCGTTGGAGAACGCATCGGCCGAGATGATCCTGGCGACGGTCCTGGCAGCCGGCGCCATCATCGCCGGCGAGGGCGAGGTGGGAAGCGCGATCGTGAGCGGCGGCCAGGCGATGGCGCAGCAGTCGTTCCTTCGCTACAGCCGGGCGCAGGAGGAAAGTGCCGACCAGGCCGCCATCCGCCTCCTCGATACCACCGGGCAGTCCGCCGCGGGCCTCCTGCGCATGTTCCAGAGGCTTGAGGAGCGCGAGCGGTTCTCTATCGGTGAGGTGAACAGCTATGCGCGCACCCACCCGCTCACGCGCGAGCGCATCCGGTTCGTCCGCGACCGCGTGGCAGGGGAGAACCTGGCCGGGGACGCAACGCCGGACGGGGTACGGGTCGCCCACCGCCGGATGGCGGCGAAGCTCAAGGGATTCCTCGATCCGCCGGAGGAGACGTTCCGTGCCTATCCGGCCGAGGACGAATCGACCGAAGCGCGCTACGCCCGCGCGATCGCCTATTACCGTATCCCAGACCTGGAACGCGCGCTCGCAGCGCTCGATGCCCTGCTCGCGGACCACCCCGACGATCCCTGGTTCCACGAGCTCAAGGGGCAGATTCTCTTCGAGAACGGCCGTGTCAGGGAGGCGATCGCGCCCTACAGCCGCGCGGTGGCGCTAAAGGAAGACGCCGCGCTGCTGCGCCTCGGCCTTGCCCGCGCGCTGATCGAGACCGGCGATGCCGCGCTGATCGCACATGCCGTAGAGAACCTGGAGGCGGCGAGCCGGCTGGAGCCGAAGGAGCCCCAGCACTGGTATCAGCTGGGCATCGCCCGCGGCCGTGCAGGCGAGCGCGCTGCCTTCCTCCCTCGCGTTTGCCGAGGCCGCCTATCTGCGGGGCGACGCCGATAAGGCGCGATACCATGCGACCATCGCTGCAGAAGGCCTACCCCACGGCAGCGCGCGCTGGCTCAGGGCGGAGGATATTCGCAACGCCGCCGAACAGGCCATGAAGGGACGGCGGTAAGCGATACGGGCGGAGCCGCCGGCCCTCTCAGATAAGTCCGCCGAGCGGCGACGACGGGTCGGCATAGCGCTTCTTGGCCATGCGGCCGGCGAGATAGGCGAGCCGGCCCGCCTCCACCGCATGGCGCATGGCGTGCGCCATCAGCACCGGGTCGCGGGCACCGGCGATGGCGGTGTTCATCAGCACCCCGTCGCACCCCAGCTCCATCGCCACGGCGGCGTCGGAGGCCGTGCCGACACCGGCATCGACCAGCACGGGCACGCCGATGCGTTCGACGATGATGCGGATGCCGACCGGGTTCTGCACGCCGAGCCCGGAGCCGATGGGTGCCGCCAGCGGCATGATGGCGGCGCAGCCCATATCCTCCAGCCGCTTGGCCATGATCGGGTCGTCGCTGCAGTAGACCATCACCTCGAAGCCGTCCTTGATCAGGACTTCGGCAGCGTGGAGGGTCTCGGGCATGTTGGGATAGAGCGTCTCCTGATCGCCGAGCACCTCGAGCTTGACCAGCGACCAGCCGCCGGCCTCGCGGGCGAGCCTCAGCGTGCGCACCGCGTCCTCGCCGGTGAAGCAGCCGGCGGTGTTGGGCAGATAGGTGTAGCGCTTGGGATCGACGTAATCGATCAGCATCGGCGTGCCCGGGTCGGTGACATTCACCCGGCGGACGGCGACCGTGACGATCTCGGCGCCGGAGGCGTCCAGCGCCGCGGCGGTCTGCTCGAAGTCACGATACTTGCCGGTCCCGACGATCAGCCGCGAGCGGAAGCGCCGGCCGGCGACCTCCCAGGTGTCGTCGTCCGCGGCGGCCGGTGCAGGGTCGGCGCCGCCGCCGATGAAGTGCACGATCTCCAACCGGTCGCCGGCGGCGACGGCGGTGCGGTCGTAGGCGCTCCGGGGCACGATTTCGAGATTGTGCTCGACGGCGATCTTGCGCGGATCGAGGCCGAGCCCCGCTACGATGCTATGGACCGACTGGGGCTCCTCGAACTCGCGGAGCTCGCCGTTAATCTGCACCTGCATGGGTGATGTTCCGTGAGAATTCTGTACGTTGCCGCAATGCTACGGCCGCACTTGGAGTATTGGTGAGGCCGCTGGCGATTTCAACCGGGGACGGCGGCGTTGAACGCGCGGATTGAAGCCGGAGTCCCAGCCGTGTTAGACCCGGCGTGCGGGCGAGCATCACGACTCGGTGCGGCCATGACTTACAATATCTTGATTTTGAACGGCCCCAACCTCAATATGCTGGGGTTGCGAGAACCTGAAATCTACGGTCGCCAGACCTTGGACGATATTCGCGCGCTGTGCGAGAGCCACGCGGAGAGTCACGGGCTTGCGGTCGATTTCAGGCAGAGCAACCACGAGGGCGAGCTGATCGACTGGATTCAGCAGGCGCCGAAGGCACACGCCGGCATCATCCTCAATCCTGGCGGCTACACCCACACGTCGGTCGCCATCATGGACGCGCTGCGCGCCGTGGACGTGCCAGCCATCGAGTTGCATCTCTCGAACATCCACCGGCGCGAGCCCTTCCGCCGGCACTCCTACGTCGCGCAGGCAGTGCGAGGTTCCATCTGCGGGTTCGGCGCGCACGGCTACCTGCTCGCGCTCGACGGGATGCGCGCGCTCTTGACGGAGGACTGACGCGATGGCGGTGAAGCCTGTGCTGGAAGCCCGGCCGGAGGAGCCGGAGCCCGTGTTCGGACCTGACATCGAGTTGATCCGAGCGCTTGCTGCGGTGCTCGACGAGGCAGGCCTCACCGAGATCGAGATCGGCGAAGGCGCAAGCCGCATCCGCATCGCGCGCACCGCCGGGCCGCTCGTGGTGCCGCCACCTGCGCCCGCCGCACACCCCGTGCAGGGCACGCCCGTACCTGAGGAGGTCCCGCCGCCTGGGCCGGCCCAGGACGATGCCTCCCACCCGGGCGCGGTGATTTCCCCGCTCGTGGGCGTCGTCTACGTGGCGCCGGAGCCCGACGGGCGTCCCCTCGTCCTGGTCGGCGACGAGATCCGCGAGGGCGATACGCTCTTCATCGTCGAGGCGATGAAGACGATGAACCCGGTCCGCGCCCCGCGTGGCGGCCGTGTCACCCGAATTCTTGCCGAGAACGGCGCCCGGGTCGAGTATGGCGAGGTCCTGCTGATCCTCGAGTGAGGCCGATGTTCGACAAGATCCTGATCGCCAACCGGGGGGAAATCGCGGTCCGGATCATCCGCGCCTGCCGGGAATTCGGCATCAAGACCGTCGCCGTCCATTCCACGGCGGACGCCGAGGCGATGCATGCCCGGCTCGCCGACGAATCAGTCTGCATCGGGCCGCCCGCGCCAAGGGAGAGCTATCTCAACATCCCGGCGATCATCGCCGCCGGCGAGATCACCAACGCTAACGCAATCCACCCCGGCTACGGCTTCCTCTCCGAGAGTGCCGATTTCGCCACCATCGTGGAGGAGCACGGCTTCATCTTCATCGGCCCGAGCCCGTCGCACATCACGTTGATGGGCGACAAGATCCGCGCCAAGCAGACGGCCGCCGAGCTCGGCCTGCCGGTGATTCCGGGCTCCGCCTCGGCACTGGAAAACGCCGATTCCTTTGCCCAGGCCGCCGACGACATCGGTTATCCGGTCCTCATCAAGGCGGTCGCGGGCGGCGGCGGGCGCGGCATGAAGCGGGTCGACAGCCGCGAAGAGCTGGTGACGGCGGTCGCCACGGCACGCGCCGAGGCCGATGCCGCCTTCGGCAACGACGCGCTCTATCTGGAAAAACTGGTCGCGGCCCCACGCCATATCGAGGTGCAGGTGCTCGCCGACCAGTTCGGCAACGCGGTGCACTTGGGCGAGCGCGACTGCTCCTTGCAGCGCCGCCATCAGAAGGTGCTGGAGGAAGCGCCATCGCCGGCACTGGACCCGCATCAGCGGGCGGAGATCGGCGCGCGCGCCAGCGCCGCGGTCCGCGAGCTCGGCTATCGCGGGGTGGGCACGCTGGAGTTCCTCTACGAGGACGGTGCCTTCTATTTCATGGAAATGAACACGCGTATCCAGGTGGAGCATCCCGTCACCGAGATGATCACCGGATCGATCTCGTGCACGAGCAGATCCGGGTCGCAGCCGGCGAGCCCCTCGCCCTCAATCAAGAGGATGTGCGCTTCGAGGGCCACGCCATCGAGTGCCGGATCACGGCTGAGGACCCCGACACGTTTCGTCCCTCGCCCGGCACCGTCAGCGGCTACCACACGCCGGGCGGGCCGGGCGTGCGCATCGATTCCGCGCTCTACGACGGCTACCGGATCCCGCCCTACTACGACAGTCTCATCAGCAAGGTGATCGCTCAGGCGGGCAGCCGCACGGCGTGCGTCATGCGTCTCAGGCGGGCGCTGGAAGAATACGTCATCCAGGGCGTGTCGACCACGATCCCGCTGCACCTGCGCCTGCTCGCCAGCACGGCGTTCGCCGAGAGCGCATACGACATCCACTGGTTCGAGCGCTTCGTGACGGAGACCGGCACCGGTCCCGCTCCGTAGCACAAACGACATGACGACGGTCGAACTCACGCCGGCGCTGATCCTGCGGGCCTATGGCTGCGGGCTCTTCCCCATGGCGGAGGGCAAGGCGGAGCGTGATGTCTTCTGGGTCGATCCCGAGACGCGCGGCGTCATCCCGCTCGACGGCTTTCACGTGCCCCGCCGGCTCGCGCGTACGGTACGCGCCGGGCGCTTCCGGATCACCGTGGACCGCGATTTCCCCCGCGTCGTGCGAGGCTGCGCGCGCCGCACCGGGGCGCCGGCCCGAATCCTGGATCAACGGGCCCATCTTCGAGGCCTACTGCGCGCTGCACCGGCAGGGGCACGCCCACAGCGTGGAGGCTTGGCACGACGATACGTTGGTCGGCGGCCTCTATGGCGTGGCACTGGGTGCCGCGTTCTTCGGCGAGAGCATGTTCAGCGTCGAGCGGGATGCCAGCAAGGTCGCACTCGTGCATCTGGTCGCACGCCTGAAGGCGGGCGGCTTCACCCTGCTGGATACCCAGTTCGTCACCCCGCACCTCAGCCGCTTCGGCGCGGTCGAGATGCCGCGCGCCCGTTACCTTTCGCAGCTCGCCGATGCGCTCCCGCGCCCCGCGACCTTCTATCCGTCCGGCTTCTCCGATGCAGCGTTTTCCGGTGCCGGCGCCGCCTCGGTACAGGCGAGCACCCAGATGTCGTAGACTGGGTGCTCGAGCGCCGCGAGACCCGGCGTGGACGAGAACATCCAACCCGTATAGAGGCGCACCGCGCGCTCATCGTGTTGTACCTCGTCGATCTCAAGGAAGGCCACGTTCTCCGGCGGCTCTTCGGGCGGCGCCGCGTGACAGGCGCGCACAACGATGCGGAGCGTTCCGAAACGGACCGGCCGGTCGAGCGGCGCTTCCAGCCTGGAGGTCCGTGCCACCACCTTGTCCAGCGCCTGGAGCACCGCGAGCCTGCGCTCGGCCGCGGCGGCAGCCGCGCCATCGACCAGGGCCGCCCCGAGCGCTGCACCCGCGACCAGGAAAAGAAGACTGACCCTCACCTACTCCGCGCCGAATGCGAACTTGCCGATCAGCTCCTCGAGCAGGAGCGAGGATTGGGTGTACGCGATGCGGCCGCCGTCGGCGATCAGAGTCTCCTCGGCGCCCGGCTGGAGGTCGATGAACTTGCCGCCGAGCAGGCCGTCGCTGACCACTGCCGCCGTGGTATCCAACGAAAGCTCGACCGTCTCGTCGATGCTCATGCGGAGCACGGCGCGGTAGGTCTCGGGCTCGAGTGTGCGCTCGATCACGCTGCCGACCTTGATACCGCCGATGCGCACATCGGACCCGTTGGCGATGCCGTCAACACGGTTGAACGCGGCGCTCACCTCGTAGCCGCTCACCGTGGCAACGCCGCTCCGGGTATAGGCGAAGACGACGAAGCCGATGGCCACCGCCAGCACCACTGCACCCAGCAGGGTCTCGACAAGGCTCCTCGACATGGCGATTTCCTTCCCTGCTTCTACGCGGAGGATTGCTGCCTCGCCCCGCCTTGGCAAGGCCGCCTCGAGTCGCAGTTTGACACAGTGCACACAGTCTCTGGTACCAACTCTGGATAGAAACTAAGCGCCGGCGGACAGCCGGACCCCCCGCGCGGCTACAAAGTCCCGATAGGGCGCGAACGCCTCATCCACCGCCTCCGGCGTCAGGCCATAGTCCTCCAGTCTGTACTCGTGCCGAGGCTCATGCCGGCGCTGCTCTGCCTGAAGGGAGAGCCATGCCTCCATGTCGTTGACGGCGGCCGACTCGAGGGGCCAACCGAACCGGCCATAAATGTCGGCCACGACCGCCATCGGGTCCGCAACCAGATGCGCGTAGCTCACATCGACCCAGCGCCGATCGAGCGCGGGATGGGAAGCGCGGAACCGAACAGCGCCGTTGAGCATGCGGCTCATGAGCGCCAGCTGCTCGGCACCGGTTTCGCGCGGCGGCCTGGGCTCGGTGGTGAACGAACGAATCCGCTCCACCAGGCTGTTCCACGAGCCCATGAACTGCGCGGGCTCGCGATGCGTCTGAACGAACACCGCATCCGGATAGGTCTCCAGCAGCACCCCCAACTCCATGAGATGAAGGGCATCTTGAGCAACCAGAACCGCTGCTCTTCCGGCTCCCGCTGCCGGCGCTGCCAGGTGAAGTGCTGCATGACGCGCCGGTGATGCGCGTAGGCATTGCGGGAACCGGTATCGGCCAGCCAACCGCCATACGCCGGCACATGGTGCGCGACGGTAATGATCCAGGTCGCGAAGGCGAGCCTGAGGAGCATGAAATCCTCCTCGGGCTCGTCCATATCGATGCGGTGAATGCCTGCGAGCGTGTCGACGACATTGGTCGCGCTCATCAACTCTTCCGCGTAAGCCCGGCGGGGATCCTCGACCGTACACTGCGCGACGAGCGGTTGCAGAGCCGAGTGAGGCGCGAGTTCCAGCACCACAACCGGCCGGTGATCGCGCTTCACGGTCTCCATTGCTGCGGCGAAACGGACCGGCTGGCGAATGTTCGACCACCAATAAGCGCTGTCCAGCCGCTCCGTCTCGACACCCGTCACCGACGAGACGAACGGCACGTCGCCGTCGAAGCCGCGATCGTCGAGGAAGGAGAGGGCATCCAGCGCGTCGTCCCTGATCGCGTCCATCGCCCGGGAATGAAAGGCGATGTTCCCCGGGATCAGCCGGTTCTGAAGGCTGCGCCGATCCAGCTCTTCCATCACGGGCTGAAGATCGGACTCGCGGCCGCAGATGACGGTATTGGCCGGCGCGTTCTCGCAGGCGATCTCGACTTGAACGGGCCGGTTGCCGTCGAGGCGGAAGGGAACGTCCAGGCCGTCCAGCAGCTCCTCCACGCCCGGCCGGTCGAGACCGATCGCGAGCATGCGGCCGGAGCCGGCCGTGCGTTGCTGCAAGGTGGCGCGATGGAAGACCAGCCGCGTCGCATCGGCAAGCGAGAGCGCGCCAGAGGCGTACGCCGCGGCCACCTCGCCTGAGCTGTGGCCGACCACGCAGTCCGGATAGACCCCCCAGTCTTGACAACTCAACAAGAGCGGCGCTCGAGCGTGAAAAGGAAAGGCTGGGCTGCGCTCATTCCTCGTAGCGCACGCAAATGCGGTCGCTCGAGCAGGCCTCTCGCAGCGCGTCTGCGAATCGGCAGCGCTGCTCCGCGCGTGCGATCGATGGTGCGGCGGCGGCTGAGATTGCCGGCAAGCGCGTAGAGGTCCACCGGCTGCTCCTCGAGCAGGTTCTGCAATCGGCGCGCGCTCTCGACCAGTGCCTTGGATGTGCGCGCCGACAGGGATCACGAAGTCGGCTGATGCGACGCCAGCGGCATCGACCAGAGCCGGGGCTGCGCAGGCCGGTACTCGCGCACCACGCAGTGCCCGTTGGCGCCGCCGAAGCCGAAGGAGTGATTCCGATCACGACACGTTGGTCGCACGGCTCGCATTCCGTCTGCACCTGCATGGGGCAAGAGTCGAAGTCGATCTCCGGATTGGGCACCTGAAAGCTCTTCGACGTCGGCGCGAATGTGCGCCGCTGCATCATCAGGATGACCTTGAGCAGGGCGCAGTGGAACGCGGCGGCCTCCATGTGCCCGTCGTTGCTCTTGACGCTGGAAACTCGCAGCGGAACCTCACGCTCGAATCCGCCATAGGCCTCGGCGATGGCGTTGCCCTCGATGCGGTCGCCACCTCGGTTCCGGTCGCATGGGCCTCGATATAGTCGAAGTCCAACGGCGTACGGCTGACCCGGGCCGAGGCCTCGCGCATCAGCTGAACCTGGGCGTGACGGGTCGGCGCGCTGATGAACCGGCCCGGCGCCAGACCGACCGTGCCATCAGCCGTGCCGGCCGCATTCACCGCCGTCGCCTCGATCACGGCGTAGATCGGGTCCCCGTCCCGCTCGGCCACCGCCAGGGGCTTGAGGGCGAAGACGAACGATCCTTCGGAACGCATGGAACCGTTGGCTTCGGCATCGAAGGAATGGCACGTGCCTTCCGGGCTGATGACCCCCATGAGGTTGAAGCTGACTGCTCATCCTGGCGCTGCCCAGATAGGTGACGGCGCCGACGAGCGCCTGTTCGCAATCGCCGCACGCGAGCGCATTCATCGCCGCGTGCAGGGCACTCAGGCCGGCGGAGCAGGCCGTGCAGTAGGTCGCGGACGATCCCATGAGGTTGAAGTGGTACGAGACCCGATTGGCCAGCATGGCAAGGCTGATGCCCGGACACGGAATACCCCGTGACACCATGCTGCGGCCGTCAGTTGGACACGGCGGGAACCTGCGCGCCGATAAAGACGCCGGTGGGGCTATTGCGCAATGAAAGAAGGTCCCAGCCAACATGTTCGATGGCCTCCCACGCGCAATTCAGCAGCATTCTTACTTGCGGTTCGGTCTGCTTCAATTCGTTGTGGGACATGCCGAAGAACGTCCGGTCGAAAAGCAATTCGTCGTCGTCGCGAATCAGCCCCTCGTAAGGGCTTGCAAGACGCCCCGGACCAGAAAATTCCCCGATGGGCAGGTGACCTCTTCCATAACGCTCGCTTATCGGTTCTTGGACGGCCTCCCGCTCGCTAAGGAGGCGTCAGAAATCGGAGTCCGAGTGAATTCCACCGGGCATACGATGGCTATACCCCACGATGGCAACGTCTTTCTCGGACTTCGGTAACGTCATGCTATCGCTCGATGTCACGACACCACGGCAATCGCCGCAGACCGGCCGTCCACATGCGCGCGCGCATTATGCCTCGGCAGCACGGAAACAACTCAGTTGATTGGGTGTCGCGGTATTCTGTGGTCCGTTTCGGGACGTACGTTCGAAACGTAGCCCTATCCCGCCCCTTCGTCCACGAGGTCGTTCTCGCATATTGATTGCGAACGAGGGCTGCAGCACGCCGCAGATATTACTTACCCGGTGTATTCTCTCCTCAAGGAAATAGCGGGGCGAGGGAGCGCCGCCGGCGCCATCGCCTGAGGGCTAACCCACGATCTCGCCTTCGACCATGGCGATCGCCTCGATCTCGATTTCGAGCTCGGGCAGCGCCAGCCCCGTGATCTCGACGATGGTGTCGGCCGGGTAGGGCGGCGTGAAATATTTCTCGCGCAGCGCCACGATCTTGCCGAAGTTGCCCATGTCCTTGAGGTAAATGTTCACCTTGACGATTTTTGCGAGGCTGGAGCCGCCGGCCTCCAGCACCGCGGCCAGGTTCTTGAAGGTCTGCTCGGCCTGAGCGTCGAAATCACCGGCACCAACGATCGTGCCGTCGAGGTCGATCGCGGCCTGGCCGGAGACGAAGATCAGGTCGCCGACTCGGTAGGCCTGTGCCAGCCTGAAGGCCTCGTAGGGATCGGGATCGGTCTTGATGCGAATTGCGTTCTCGGCCATCGGGCTTCTCCGTCTTAGGCGCCGCAAAACGGGGCGTCGCGATAAGCCAGTCTCGCCCACAGCGCCGCTTGATGCTAGGACGCGCCCTGCGGCAGCAGGAGGCACACGACATGAGCGACACCGTGCAGATCGAGCGAGAGAATGGCATCGCCAGAGTGACCCTCAACCGACCGGAGGTGCTGAATGCCCTCGATGCCGAGCTCTGCGAGGCGCTTCTCGCGGCCCTGGCCGCGCTGGAGCGCGATTCCGAGACCCGCGTCCTGGTGCTGCGCGGCGCGGGCGGGCACTTCATGGCGGGCGGCGACCTGCGCTCCTTCTACGAGCTGATCAAGCTCACGCCGGATGAGCGCCGGCAGCACTTCGAGGGGTTCATCGATGTGGTCCACCGCATCATCCGAATCATGCGGCGGATGCCGCAGCCGGTCATCGCCAGCATCGCCGGCGCCACCGGCGGCTTCGGGCTGAGCCTGGTTCTCGCCGCCGACCTCGCGGTCTGCGCCGCGGACAGCATCTTCACCATGGCCTATTGCCGCATCGGCACGAGCCCGGACGGCTCGTCGACCTGGTTTCTGCCGCGCACGGTGGGCGCCAAGAAGGCGATGGAGCTTGCGCTCCTCGGGGATCGCTTCGGCGCGCGCGAGGCCGAACGGCTCGGCATCGTGAACCGCGTCGTCTCGCCGCACCGGCTCGAGGAAGAAACGAGGCGCTGGCCCGCCGGCTTGCCTCGGGCCCCGCCCGCGCCTACGCCAACACCAAGCGGCTGCTCGGCAATTCGGGCCATGCCTCCCTCGAACAGCAGCTCCAGGCGGAGGGCGAAATGTTCGCGGATTGCGCGGCGAGCGATGATTTCGCCGAAGGAGTCGCGGCCTTCGTCGAGAAGCGCAAGCCCACCTTCACCGGGCGCTGAGCGATGGCCGGGCGGCTTGCCGGCAAGACCGCGCTGATCACGGCAGCGGGGCAAGGGATTGGCCACGCGACCGCCGTCGCATTCCACAACGAAGGCGCCGAGCTCTGGGCGACCGACATCGACGAGGCCAAGCTCGCCGGCCTCGCCACGTTGGAGGGCGTCACCTGCCGGGCGCTCGACGTCCGCGATGCCGGTGCCGTGGCAGCCGCGGCTGATGAGATCGGCGCGCTCGATGTGCTCTTCAACTGCGCCGGCCGCGTGCCCCACGGCGCGCTCCTCGACTGCGAGCCCGAGGACTGGGAGGAGACGCTGAGCCTCAACGTGACCGCGATGTACCGGATGATCCGCGCCTTCCTGCCGGCGATGCTGGCCCAGGGCGGCGGCTCGATCATCAACATGGCGTCGGTGGTCTCATCGGTGAAGGCCGCGCCCGACCGCTGCGCCTACGGCGCCAGCAAGGCCGCCGTCATCGGCCTCACCAAGTCGGTCGCGTTGGACTATGCGGCGCAGGGGATCCGCTGCAACGCGGTCTGCCCCGGCGCGGTCGATACCCCCTCCCTTGAGGAGCGGTTCAACGCCCGCCCGGACCCGGAGGCGGCACGCGAGGACTTGCTCGCGCGCCACCAAATGGGGACGCATGGCATCGCCGTCGGAGATCGCGGCGCTCTGCGCCTATCTCGGCTCGGACGAGTCGGCGTTCGTGACCGGCCAGGCACTGGTCATCGACGGCGCCTGGGGCCTGTGACCGCGGGGCTCACTCTCCCGCCGCCGGGCCCCTGTTTCCGGTAAGCGCGGTCACCATGTTGTCGATCAGCCGCATGCCGATGCCCTCGTCGAGGGAGAGGATCGATTCCGGGTGGAACTGCACGGCGGCGATCGGGCTGCGCCCGGTGCTCCAGCGCCATGACGACGCCGTCGTCGGTCTCGGCGGTGACCCTCAGAAGGTCGTCGGGGAGCGACACGCGCCGGGCGTAGAGCGAGTGGTAGCGGCCGACGCGGAAGCGACCCGGCAACCCCTGGAAGAGCGCGCTTCCCTGCACCGTGACCTCAGAGGGCTTGCCGTGGACCGGCTCGTCGAGCTGGTCGAGCCGGCCGCCGAAATACTCGGCCACGGCCTGCAACCCGAGGCAAACGCCGAACAGCGGCACGTCCTTCGCCAGCACGAGAGCGATCGTCTCGGCGGTGCCGAAATCCTTGGGCCGGCCGGGGCCGGGCGAGAGCACGACGAGATCGGGCGCGCCCTCCCGCAACGCTTGGCGCGCGGGCTCGGGCCGGAGCGTCTCGACCTGGGCGCCGGTCTGGCGCAGGTAGTTGGCGAGCGTATGGACAAACGAATCCTCGTGATCGACCAGGAGCACGCGCCGCGCAGTCCCCGGCCGGGCCGAGGGCGCGTGCGCCGGCGCGGGCGCGGCCTCAGCCCGCACGGCCGTGAATAGCGCGGACGCCTTGAGCCGGCACTCCTCATCCTCGGCTTGCGGCTCGCTGTCGTAGAGCAGCGTGGCGCCGGCCCTGATCTCGGCGATTCCGTCCTTCATGCGCACGGTACGGAGCGTGAGGCCGGTGTTCATCGCCCCGTCGAAGCCGATGCGGCCGATGGCGCCGCCGTACCAGCGCCGCGCCGAGCGCTCGTTCGCCTCGATGAAGCGGATCGCCCAGTGCTTGGGCGCGCCGGTCACCGTCACCGCCCAGGTGTGGCTGAGGAAGGCGTCGAGCGCATCGAACTCAGGGCGCAGGATGCCCTCCACGTGATCCACCGTGTGGATCAGGCGCGAGTAGAGCTCCACCTGCCGGCGCCCGATCACCCGCACGGAGCCCGGCTCGCAGATGCGCGACTTGTCGTTGCGATCGACGTCGGTGCACATGGTGAGCTCGGCCTCGTCCTTGGCCGAGTTGAGGAGCTTCGCGATCTGGGCGGCGTCCCCCAACGCGTCCTTGCCGCGGGCGATGGTGCCCGAGATCGGGCAGGTCTCCACACGGCGGCCCTCGACCCGCACATACATCTCGGGCGAGGCGGCGACCAGGAACTCGCCGGCGCCCAGGTTCATCAGCGCGCAGTAGGGCGCGGGATTCACGGTGCGCAGCCGGTCGAACACCGCGGACGGCGCATCGGCGCAGGCTTCGCTGAACTGCTGGCTCAGCACCGCCTCGAAGAGGTCGCCCCGGCGGAACGCATCCCTGGCGCGCTCCACAGCCGCCGGGTATTCGCCCGGCTGGTGGTCGTTGGCAGGCGGGTTGTTGCCGAGGGGTGCAGGCGCGTAGGCGTCCTCCCGAGGCGCACGCGCCATGTCGCGCGTGTCGCCGGCCTGGGTGACGAAATCGTAGCGGTGCCACATCGCCCGGTCCGACATGTGATCGACGACCAGGATCTCGTCCGGCACGAAGAGCACCAGGTCGCGCTGGTCGCGGGGCGCTCGAGGCGCAGCTCCACCGGCTCGAACTGGTGGGCGAGGTCGTAGCCGAAGGCGCCGTAAAGCCCGAAGTGCTGGTCCTCGTCGTTGCTGAAGAGCTCGATGACCGCGCGCAGCAGCTGAAGATGGAGGGCTGCCGGCTGCGCTGCTCCTCGGGCACGATCTCCGTCGGCCGGCGGATGCGTCCTTGAAGGCGATCGGCCTCCGCCTCCAGCGAGGCGACGGCGTCGAGCGGCTCGATCGCGGCGCGGATCGGCTCGATCAGGACCTGGCCTCTCGGCTCCAGCGCCGTGACCTCGAAATCGCGCCCGCGGCAGGTGATGGCGAGCGGCGGGGCGGCAAAGCCTAAGTCCCAGCGCGTGTAGCGGCCGGGGAACTCAAAGCAGGACGACATGAAGACGCCGGGGTGGCGATCCAGCCGCTCGACCAGGGCCGCGGCCGCAGGCTCGCCGTCCACCTCCAAATCGCGGCGGTGGACCGTGATGCCGCCGCGGGTGCGGTAGCGGCGGTCGAGGGTCGCAGGTTCGCTCATGGCGCCCTTATCCCACCTGCCGACGGGGCCAACAACCCACAGGGGTGGCCATGCCGGATAGCGGCTCGGCCAGCGGTCCGCGTCACAAAATGGCCTTGATGCGGGGGCATGGTCGAGAGGCAGCAACGCAAGAAGGGCCCGTCACGCGGTGATTGAAGAGAACGCCACCGCAACGAATGAGCGGCCGGCACTGGTGCTTCCACGCGTGGCGGAGCGGCGGCGCTCCATCGTCTCCTACGCGCTGGCCATGAGCGACAGCCTGATCGCCGGATTCGATGCCGCCGATTTCAGGGAAGACATCACTGAGCGGAAATTCCTCTGGTTCCACCACTTCCTGGTGAACCATCCGGACGGCGTGAAGCACATCTTGCAGGACAACGCCGCCACTACGACATCAAGGCGCCGATCGTCCGGCCGCTGCTGACGCCGGCGCTGGGGAACGGCCTCGTCACCAGCGAGGGCGAGGCCTGGCGCCGGGGCCGCACGATCATGGCACGGCCTCAACGCGCAGCGCGTGCGGGCTATGCCGACATCATTGCCGCCGCCACGACGCATGATTCGCACATGGGATGCAGACAGCGCCGATGGCCCTCTCGACATGGAGAGCGCCATGCGGAATTGCACGCTCGATTATCATCTCTCGGGCGATGTTCTCGTCGGATAGCGAGCTCATCAGGGACACCTGTATCGCAGTTCCTCCGCTATCAGGCGGAATGACCTCAGTCCGGTTGCGCGTGATTCCGGGCGGAACCGCGTATGGGCGCTATACAAGACATGGCGTGCGGCGAGGATGCTCAAGGATCTCAACGCGTTGATCGGGCAAATCATCGACGCGCGCAAGAAGCGTCCCAACGCGGGCTCACACGTCGACTTGCTGACCGGCTCCTCGACGCCCGCGATCCCGAGACCGGGCCGGACTCCTGCCAAGACGTTCGCGACAGATGTTACCGTCCTTCGTCCGCCGGCATGAGACCACGGCGTTGGCGCTTGTGGACCTGGTTCCTGCTTTCCTAACACGCCGCTGTGGAGCACGGCTTTGGGCGGAGCTCGACGAAACGCTCAAAGGCGAAGCGCCCACGTACGCATGTTCGCCGCGTGCCCTATACGCGCATGATCTCGACGAGGCGTTGCGCTCTTCCCTCGCATCCACTCCCTCCCGTGGCGCCAGCGCTTGAGAGAGACGAGGTTTGCGGCGCGAGATCCCGCCGGTGCGATATCGGCATCATCCCCTGGGTCATCCATCGCCATCATGCGCTATGGGACGACCCGGAACGCTTCGCGCGTGAGCGTTTCTCACGGAGCGCAGCAGCCAGCAGCGCGCGCTCCTACATTCCTTCAGCTATGGGCCGCGCTTTGCATCGGCGCGTCGTTGGCAATGACGGAAGGCGTAGTGAATGGTGGGAGCATGTAGCACAGCATTACGGCTTCGCTTTGCCCCCGGCCAAGCCATAGAGCAGCGAGGGCTACTTTCGCTCCAAGCGCGAAAAGGCCTCCTATGCGCCCAGTGCGACGCACCGGAGCCACTACTGCCGCCTGCCAACCAAACTTACGCTGAGACCATTCAGTGTGGAATGGAGGGTAACGCGGACGTAAGAATCTCACTTTCACGACAAGTCGTCAACGGTTACTTTCCCAGAATCTTGAACCTTCTTCTTGGCGTATTCGCTGTTTTGTGCTCTGTTTCGCCTTTGTCCACGACCTACCAGGATGTAGAGTGTCCCAACAACTTCGTTCGGTTAGCTCTTCGATTTGCCTTTCGTGTTTGCCAAACCATCGAGGACAACATTCCAGACGGGCTTGTACTTCTTTATACAAGAGCTTGTTCAGGCGAATTACTATCCAGACTGGAACGATGGCCAGCGCACGATACGAGAATTCCTCGATAGACAGATTGGCTACTTGATCGATAGACTTCACATGCTTGCCTGAGTTGTCCAGTAGAGCTGGGGCTGAAAGTCCAGTTCTGCGACACCCCGTCCTCGAACCAGTGGGCACGGGACTTCCTTTTCCCGCATAAATCGGGCTGTTCCATCTGACCTATGGTTGGTACTCGATCACGCGTACACCTTGTAGTAGAGCGCGTAGTAAATTCCGGGTCCTTTCTTAACGCTCTCGTAAAATCACCTAACGGTACGCCGTCCTGCGTTTCGAAAGACGCGACGGTACCTGCCATAAGATTTCGTAGGGTGAGTGGATCCCCAAAGTGGGTTGGCGGCATCAAAGGCGTCGGCCACTCCACGATGGTACTTCGTAGAGGTCCCACCATTTCGCCTGCCTGCAAGGAAACTTGAATCGACGATGCGCCTAAACCGACCAGCGTTTCACGGGGAACGGAAGTTCTGTCACCCTGAATCCGCGCGATTCACAATGGCTGCGAGAACAGCGATCAGTTGGGATCGGCACCCCCTGCAAGATGGAGTTGCCGATGACGACCAGGGCGGTCGCTCCGGGCCGCAGGCACCAGGCCGCGCCGTCGAGGAAGCGGGCGCAGTCGTTGAAATACTGGGCCGCGTAGTTGGCCCAGCCGTTGCCGCCGTAGACGCCCTTGTCGGGGTTCCGCTGCCGCACCGTGTCGATGGCCTCTCGAATCGCACTGTCGTCGATGGAGGGGTCGAGGTCGATCCGCGCTTCGTCGCGGGCGTTCTGCCAGTAGGTGCCGAAGTTGAGCTCTTCCAGCCGCTTCATCTCGCGCGGCGCAGCGCAGAACCCCAGCCAGTAGAGGTGCGGGCGCGTGTTGCGGTTGTAGTGGTAGTTGTTGAGATAGGGCGGCGAGGTGACGAGCAGGTCCACGCTTTCCGTCGGGATCGCACTGTAGCCGTCGAAGAACGAGCGCTCGAAGACTCGCCCGTCCTCTCGCTCGGGGTTCTCGCGCGCGCCGCGATACCACGCGGCATCGTCCGCCATCTGACGGAGCTTGGCCGCAATGGCACCTGCCACGTCGTCATCCACGACCTCGGGCCGCCCGACCGACGCCTTGCGGCCCAGCTCGGCTCGTAGGAGTAGTTGGAGTACCCACCATGGTCGCCGCGAAAGCGAGACGGAAGAGGCTGGCGACCGGCTCATCCAGCGTCGCCATGAAATCGAAGGCCAAGAGGACCTTGCGCTCGACCGCCGGGCTGTAGAACGGCGCCCGCGTGCGGAAGGCGGCGGGAGGCGCCGCCTCGGGCGCGCAGCCTGCGTGCTCGCTATCCTCCATGAACGCAACGAATTCCGCGACGGAGGCCCTGAGCCGCGCGGGCTCCAGCCGATGGGCCCCTAACTTCGTCCGCGCGGCGAAGACGGCATAAGGGTTGATCTCGAAGCCGACGGCGTCATGGCCCGCGAGGTCCGCCTCGATCAGTGTCGTCCCGACACCGCGAAGGGATCCAGCACGACGCCTGCCCCCGACGCCGGCAGGTGGCGGGCCAAGCCGTCCTGAACGAACTGCCGGGAAAAGCCCGCGATCCAGGGAACCCACCGGTGCACCGGCGTCTCCCGTTGGCCATGAAGGCGGGTCGCGGAATACTCCGCGCTGGGGAGCCCGGCCGTCGGTGACTTCAGGCGGCCGGTCCCCCAAGGGCGAACCGCTATCTTCCCGTTCACGCCGTGCGCCGACGCGGTCTTCGAACTGAAACTCTGCCTGTCGCGGATGCTGCGGCATGTCTCCCGACGGTCGGTCAGGGGGTCAGGATCGTCGAGCCCGTGGTCTTCCGGGCCTCCAGGTCGCGATGCGCCTGAGCGGCCTCGGCGAGCGGGTAGGTCTGGTGGATCTCGATTCTGACGGCGCCGGAGCGCACAACGTCGAAGAGGGCGCCTGCGGATTCCTCAAGCTCGGGCCGGGTCGCGTTGTAACCGAAGAGGGTGGGCCGCGTGATGTAGGCGCTCTTGGGCGCGAGTCTCGCCAGTTGAAGTCGGTGATGGGGCCGGAGGCGTTGCCGCGAGCGTCCCCAAGCCTTGCGAGGCTCTTGAGCGAGCCTTCCACCGTGTCGGCGCCGATCGAATCGTAGACCACGGGCACGCCTTGGCCCTCGGTGATCTCCATCACCCGCTCGGCGAAATCCTCTGTCCGGTACATGACCGGGTGATCGCAGCCATGCGCGCGGGCGAGCGCCGCCTTCTCTTCGGAACCCACGGTGCCGATCACCGTCGCCCCCAGGTGCTTGAGCCACTGGCACTGGATCAGCCCGACCCCGCCGGCGGCAGCGTGCACCAGTACGGTCTCGCCCGCCTTCACCGGGTAGGTGCGGCGAATCAGGTACTCGACGGTCATGCCCTGGAGCATCATCGCCGCGCCCTGCTCGAAGCTGATGTCGGCGGGCAGCTCCACCAGCGATCCCGCCGGCATCACACGGGCCTCGGAATAGCCGCCGGGGGGCGGCGGGCTGGCGTAGGCGACGCGCATGCCGGCGGAGACCTCGGTGACGCCCTCGCCTACCGCCTCGACCACACCCGCCCCCTCCATGCCGATGGGCCAGGGCAGCGAGGGCACCGGGTAGAGGCCGGTGCGGTGATAGACGTCGATATAGTTGAGGCCGATCGCCTCGTGGCGCACCAGCGCCTCGCCGGGGCCGGGATCGGGCAGCGTGACATCCTCGTAATGCAGCACCTCGGGCCCGCCGGCTTCGTGCATCCGAACTGCCTTGACCATGAGTCGTCCTTTCCTGTCGGGGGCGCCCGTCCGACCGTGCCTGGCTCAGACCGAAAGCGTCGGCGGAAGCGCGCGTTCGAGCGCGAGAAGTTGGCGCTTGGTATCACAGCCGGCGCCGCCGGAGAAGCCGCCGAGCGCGCCGCCTGCCCCGACGACCCGGTGGCACGGGATGATGAGGGGGATCGGATTGGCACCGCAGGCGCCGCCGATGGCGCGGGGCGCGCTGTCAAGCGCGCGGGCGAGGTCACCGTAGCTCCGGGTTTCGCCATAGGGAATGGCCTGCATCGCCGCCCACACCCGGCGGCGGAAGGGCGTCCCTTGGGGCGTGAGGGGCAGCGCGAATTCGCGGCGGTCGCCGGCGAAATATTCGGTGAGCTGGCGCGCGGCCTCCGTCAGCACGCCTGTGTTTGGGCGGGGTCCGCCGCCGCCACCGAAGTCGACCGCCGTGACCGCGCCGTCCTCGGCGGTGATCGTGAGCGGGCCGACGGGGCTCTCGATGGTGCAGCTGGTGGCTGTCATGGTCTCAGCCTTCGCCGGGCGCGCCGGCGGCCTCGTCGAGTGCGCCCTGGAGCGCCTGCGGTTCGGTCACCGGCAGCGAGCAGACCGGGCCCACGCAGACGTAGGCCGCGGGCTGCCCTCGTGCTGCCCTTGCCGAGGCGGGATGCCCAGAGGCAGCGCTTCGCCGGCGCGAGCACGCTCAGCACACGGTTGGGCAGGCTGGTTGCGTAGACAGCGTCGACGAGGGCACTCGTCCCCCTCCTCCGCTCGCTCTCCGCACACCACCACCTGCACCGCGCGGCGCAAGATCTCGCTGTTGTTGGCGAGCGTCGACAAGGGTGAGAAGTTCTGCTCCAGCTCGCCGGAGAACGCCTTGACCAGCGCCTCGGCGCGGTCGCGATAGCCGCCTCGCCGGTGCAGATAGTGGAGGCGCGCGAGCACGCCCACCATGGTTCCGTTGCCGGCGGGCGTCGCCGCGTCGTGGGCCGTCTTGGTGCGGCTGATGCTCGCCTCGCCGTCGTCGCGTATAGAAGTAGCCGCCCTCCGCCTCGTCCCAGTAGTGGGCGTCGAGGACCGCGACCCAGCCCTGCGCACGGGCGAGGTAGGCATCGTCGCCGGTCGCCTCCGCCAGCATCAGCGCCGCCCGCGCCATCTCGGCATAGTCGTCGAGGAACTCCACGTCCTTGGAGCGGCCGTGGCGGGCCGCGTGGCGGAGCGATCGCCCGCCGCCATGGGGCCTGCGACATAGTCCGAAGGCCGCGACCGCGGCGTCGAGCCAGGCTGCTCGCCGAAGACCATGGCGGCGTTGGCGAGCGCCGCGATCATCAGGCCGTTCCAATCGGCGAGCACCTTGTCGTCCCAACCTGGGCGCTCCCGGCTTGCGCGCCGCTCCAACAGGATCGTGCGCATCCCGGCGAGGCGCGGCTCGTCCGGCGTCTCATCGGTGCCGGGCGGCAGGAGCCGGTTGAGGATCGTCTTCCCCTCCCAGTTGCCGCCTGGCGTCACGTCATAGACGGCCTTGAAATAGGCCGCGTCCGCGCCGAGAAGCTCATCGATCTCGGCCTCGTTCCAGACGTAGAACTTGCCTTCCTCGCCTTCCGAATCGGCATCCAGCGCGCTCGCGAACGCGCCCTCGCCGGTGCGCATCTCGCGCAGGATCCAGGCCACGGTCTCCGCCGCGCGGGCGGCGAAGAGCGGCTCGCCCGTCTCCTGCCAGACGTGACACAGCAGATCGAGAAGCTGGGCGTTGTCGTAGAGCATCTTCTCGAAATGGGGCGCAAGCCAGCGCTCGTCGGTGGAGTAGCGCGCGAAGCCGCCGCCCAGATGGTCGTAGATGCCGCCCTGGCACATGCGTTCCATGCTCAGTACGACGGCGGTCTTCATCAAGAGCGACCCGGTTCGCAAGTAACTGCGCCAGAGAAGCTCAAGCATGGAACATTGCGGGAACTTCGGCGCACCGCCAATACCACCGTGGCGTCCGTCGACCTCGCGCAGCAGAGTCCGCGCCATGTTCTCGGTTTGTGCCTCGGTCACGGCCTCGCCGGGCTTACTACGGGCGAGTCCCTGCAACGCTTCGACGAGCGCTGTTCTGTTTTTGTCCACTTTGTCGCGGTCGCCGCGATAGGTCTGCTCGATCAAGCGCAGCACATCCTTGAAGCCGGGGCGGCCGAAGCGCGGCTCCAGCGGGAAGTATGTGCCGCCCCAGAAGGGCTCGGCGTCGGGGGTGAGGAACATGGTGAGCGGCCAGCCCCCCTGCTGGCCCATGAGCGCGAGCGCCCGCTGGTAGATGGTGTCGAGGTCGGGGCGTTCTTCGCGGTCCACCTTGATGTTGACGAAGAGCCCGTTCATCAGCTGAGCCGTCTCATCGTCCTCGAAGCTCTCGTGGGCCATGACATGGCACCAGTGGCAGGCGGAGTAGCCGACCGAGAGCAGGATCGCCTTGTCGGCCGCCTTCGCCTCGGCCAGCGCCTCCGGCCCCCACGGGCGCCAGTGCACCGGGTTGTCCTGGTGCTGCAGGAGATAGGGGCTGGATTCGGCGCCCAAAAGGTTCTCGCTCATGGCCCTTCCCGTCTGGTTCGGACCGCGCGCGCCAGCGGGGCGGCCTTGCGCCTGAGCATAGGGTGCGCCGCCCTCAGCCGCCAGCCCGTCGCGGCCAGCTCAGGCGACAGAACCTGTTCAAGTGCGGGAACGCGGGGTATGGTCGCGCCCGCCGGCCGGGCGCCGCACCAGAGGCGGCACGGTGCCGCGAGCGAGGTTCCCCATGAAGGTCAAAATCGAGATCGACTGCACGCCGGAGGAGGCCCGCGCCTTCTTCGGGATGCCGGACCTGTCGGCGGCCCACGCCGCCATGGCCAAGGGCCTGGAAGCGCGGATCGCGGAGGCGATCGGCACCATTGACCCGGAAGCGCTGTTGAAATCCTGGCTTCCCGGCGGGCTCAAGGGCTTCGAGGCCATGCAGAAGGCCTTCTGGGAAGGTTTTGGGCAAGCCGGCGGCGGCGCACCCAAGGGCGGAGGCGGAGGCGGCGCGGGATGAGCCAAGCGGACCCGCCGCTCTACTACCGGCGCCACGTCTTCTGCTGCGTCAACACCCGCGCGCCCGGCCACCCGCGCGGCTGCTGCAGCGCGAAGGACTCCGTCAAGCTGCGCGCCCACATGAAGGCGCGCGCCAAGCAGCGCGGGCTTCCGACGTGCGCATCAACGCGAGCCAGTGCCTCGATCGCTGCGACTCGGGCCCACCATGGTGATCTATCCCGAGGGCGTCTGGTATTCGATCAAGACGGTGGCGGATGTGGACGAGATCATCGAGACTCACCTCGTGGGCGGCGGCCGGGTCGAGCGGCTGATGCTGATGCCCGACCAGCCGTTCCCCGACGAGGCCGACGACGCCGGAGACCCCGGCCGGGCGGCGGCAACCGCCGCCCTCCTGACCCGGTGCCGGCACGCGGGCGGGCCGGCCGTACGAGAGATGACTGGCGACACCATCTTCGCGCTGTCGAGCGGCGGTGGGCGCGCCGCCATCGCGGTGGTCCGCGTCTCAGGCCCCGCGGCACGAATGGCGCTTGCGGGAATTGGCGGCGAGCCGCTGCCCGAGCCACGCCAGGCTACGCTCCGGCGCTTCCGCCAACCGGAAACAGGCGAGCCCTTTGACTGCGGCCTTGCCCTCTGGCTCCCGGCACCCGGCAGCGCCACCGGCGAGGACATGGCGGAATTCCACGTCCACGGTGGCCCTGCCGTCCTCAGCGCGCTGTTGGAGGCGCTCGGGGCACTTCCCGGCCTTCGTCCTGCCGAGCCAGGCGAGTTCACCCGCCGCGCCTTCGAGGCAGGCCGCCTCGACCTCACCGAGGCGGAGGGGATCGCCGACCTGGTGGCGGCCGAGACCGAGGCCCAGCGCCGCCAGGCGCTCGCCCAGATGGAAGGGGGGCTGCATCGCCTCTACGAAGGCTGGCGCGACCGGCTGATGGCGTTGAGGGCGCATGTCGAAGCCGCCATCGATTTCTCGGACCAGGACTTAGGCGAGGACCCCATGGCGGCGGCGGCTCCGGACCTCGCGGCGCTGGAAGCCGAGATCGCGGCCCACCTCGACGATTCCCGGCGAGGCGAGCGCCTGCGCGAAGGCTTCGCCATCGCCATCGTGGGCGCACCCAATGCCGGAAAATCCAGTCTTCTCAATCGCTTGGCGGGACGAGACGCAGCCATCGTCTCGACCCGCGCCGGCACCACCCGCGACGTGGTCGAGGTCCGTCTCGACCTCGCGGGCTGGCCTATCACCCTCGCCGACACCGCCGGCTTGCGCGAGAGCAGCGACGAGATCGAGAGCGAAGGCGTGCGCCGCGCGCTCGACCGTGCAGCGAGCGCCGATCTCTCGCTGGTCGTCTTCGACGGCGCTCTCTGGCCGGAAGCCGACGCAGCGAGCCTTGCGATGCTGGGCGACGACGCGCTGGCGGTTCTGAACAAGACCGACCTCCTCTCGAGCCCCGTACCCGATCGCATTGATAGACACGCGGCGCTTGGAGTCTCGTGCCTCACCGGCGCCGGCATCGAGGCGCTGCTGGAGACGCTCGTGGCGGAAATCGCGCGACGATACCCGGCAGGCGGCGCGCCAGTGCTCACCCGCATCCGGCATCGGCAGGCCGTCGTGGAGAGCCGCGATGCGCTGACGCGTGCCCTCGCGGGGCCGGCCGACGAGCGGCTTGCCGAGGAGCTCCGGCTCGCGGCGCACGCGCTCGGCCGCATCACCGGCCGCGTCGATGTCGAGGCCGTGCTCGACCTCGTCTTCCGCGACTTCTGCATTGGAAAGTAGCAGGGCACACGCGTGCTTGGTGCTTTACGAGCGGAGGCGTCTGCCCTATAGGGAGCGCCGTCTGAATGAGCCAGGCCGCAGACCGGGCGGCCGGGAGGGCGGCCATGGGCCGCGAGCGTTTCGATGTCATCGTGATCGGGGGCGGCCACGCGGGCTGCGAGGCCGCGGCGGCGGCGGCGCGCGTCGGAGCGGCGGCCCTGCTCATTACCCAGAAGCGCGAAACCATCGGCGCGATGTCGTGCAATCCAGCGATCGGCGGGCTCGCCAAGGGCACGCTCGTGCGGGAGGTGGATGCGCTCGACGGGCTGATGGGCCGCATCGCCGACGGGGCGGGCATTCAGTTCCGCGTGCTCAATCGCAGCAAGGGCCCGGCGGTGCGCGGGCCCCGGGCGCAGCAGGACCGCGCGCTCTACCGCGCGGCCATGCAGGCGGCGCTCGACGCCCAGCCCAACCTCACGATCCGGGAGGGCACGGTCGAAGACCTGGTGCTCGATACCGGCGCTGACGGCCAAGCTTCGCGTGCAGGGCGCGGTGCTGGGAGACGGCGAGTCCATTCCGGCCCCACGGGTGGTTCTCACCACCGGCACATTCCTGCGCGGCCTCATCCATATCGGGGAGCGGCAGATCCCGGCGGGCCGTGTCGGCGACGCGCCAGCCACGGGCCTCGCGCTCACCCTTGAGCGGCTGGGCTTCCGCCTCGGCCGGCTGAAGACCGGCACCCCGCCACGGCTCGACGGCCGCACCATCGACTGGGCCGCGCTGGAAGCGCAGGAGGGCGACGAGCCGCCCGAGCCCTTCTCCTTCCTCACCGCCGCGATCACGCGGGCGCAGGTGCCCTGCCACATCACCGCCACGGGGCCTGAAGGCCACGACCTCATTCGCCGCAACCTCGCGCGCTCGCCCATTTATTCCGGTGCGATCGAGAGCCGGGGCCCCCGCTACTGCCCCTCCATCGAGGACAAGGTGGTGCGCTTCGCGGACCGCTCCTCTCACCAGATTTTCCTTGAGCCAGAAGGGCTTACCGATCACACGGTCTATCCCAACGGGATCTCGACTGCGCTGCCGGAGGACGTGCAGCGGGCGCTGGTGGCGACGATTCCGGGACTGGAGCGGGCGGCGGTGCTCAGGCCCGGCTACGCATCGAGTACGACCACGTGGACCCGCGCGAGCTAAGCCCGGCGCTGGAGACGGCCCGCATCGCGGGCCTCTATCTCGCCGGCCAGATCAACGGCACCACGGGCTACGAGGAGGCCGCAGCCCAAGGTATCGTCGCCGGCATCAACGCCGCGCGGGCGGCCGACAGCGGCGGGCCGTTCACGCTCGACCGCGCCGATGGCTATATCGGCGTGCTGATCGACGATCTCATCACCCAGGGGGTGAGCGAGCCCTACCGCATGTTTTCGTCGCGCGCCGAGTACCGCTTGAGGCTCAGGCCGGACAATGCCGACCGCCGCCTCACGGCACGCGGCATGGAGGCGGGCTGCGTGGGGAGCGAGCGGGTCGCGGCGCTTTGCCGTCAAGAGCGCGGCGCTGGAACAGGCCGAGCACCTGCTCGATTCGCTCGACGCCACGCCGGATACGCTGCGCCGCCACGGCATCCCGGCGAACCGGGACGGGACGCAGGCGCACCGCCCGCGAGCTGATCGGCTATCCGTCCGTGACCCTGGAGCAGCTCGCGGCGCTCTGGCCGGCGCTGGCGGCGCTTGAGCCCGACATCGTCCGCGCGCTGGAGAACGACGCCCACTACCGAGGCTATGTGGAACGGCAAGAGGCGGACATCGCGGCCTTCCGCCGGGACGAAGCGCTCAGATTGCCGGGGGATCTCCGCTTCGAGCTGGTGGGCGGCCTTTCCCACGAGATGCGCCAGCGTCTTTCCAGCGCACGGCCTGCGACGCTCGGCGCGGCAGGGCGTGTGCCAGGGGTGACGCCGGCGGCGCTGACGGCGCTGCTCGCCCACGTGCGCAAAACCCATACCCGCAAGACCGCGGCGGAGGCCGGGCGCGGCTAGGTCGAATGGAGCCGGGTGAGGCCTTCCGGCGCGATGTTTCACGTGAAACACGCGAACGGCTCGAAATCTACGAATCCCTCCTCCGGCGCCGGCAGCAGCGTACGAACCTGGTCTCGGCCGCCTCGCTGCCCGCGCTCTGGACCCGCCACTTCCTCGATTCGGCGCAGCTCGCCCCTCTACTCGCTGACGATGCAACGGGCCACACCGTCGATGTCGGCAGCGGCGCCGGTTTTCCTGGCATGGTGCTTGCGATCATGCAGAGAGACCGCCACGTCACTCTGGTCGAGGCCAACGGCAAGCGCTGCGCCTTCCTGCGCGAGGTCGCAGTTGCCACCGGCACCGCAGTCTCCGTCATCGAGGGCCGGCTCGAGGCGCCGGAGCTTCAGGCGGCGCTCGCGCCGGCCGGCACGATCGTAGCCCGCGCGTGCGCGCCGTTGGTCGAATTGCTAGGTCTTGTTTTCCCTGTGTTGGAACCCCATACATATTGTATATTCCCGAAGGGGCGCCGCTACCGGAGCGAGCTGGAGGAAGCGCGCCGCCGGTGGGATTTCCGGGCAGACATCGTCCCCAGCCGCACCGCGGCGGAGGCGCGCATATTGAGGATCAGCGATGTCGAACGCCGCCGCTCTTGAGTCCGGCGTGCCCAGCACACCGGCCGCACAGGCTCCACGCGCCGAGGCGGGGCGGCCTCGGATCATCGCGATCGCGAACCAGAAGGGCGGCGTCGGCAAGACCACCACCGCCATCAATCTGGGCACGGCGCTCGCCGCTGCCGGGCGCCCGGTGCTGCTCCTCGACCTCGACCCGCAGGGAAACGCCAGCACCGGCCTCGGCATCCCGCAGGCGGAGCGCGTGCCGGGCAGTTACGGGCTGCTCCAGGGCGCACCATTCGATGAAATCCTGCGCAGGACTCCCGTTCCGGGCTTGACCGTCGTACCGGCGACCCGCGACCTCGCGGCTGCCGAGATCGAACTTTCCCAGAGCCCACGCCCCCAGCACTGCCTCAAGGAGGCGCTGGCGCCGGCGCTCGCCCAAAGCGGAGCGCTCCGCAGCGGGCTCGGCTATGTGCTGATCGACTGCCCGCCTTCGCTCGGATGTTGACGATCAATGCCCTCGTCGCGGCCGACTCGGTTCTGGTGCCGCTCCAATGCGAGTTCCTGGCGCTGGAGGGGCTGAGCCAGATGCTCAGCATCGTCGACCGCGTGCGCACCGCCTTCAATCCCGCGCTCCGCGTCCAGGGCATCGTGCTCACCATGTACGACAAGCGGAACAACCTCTCCGCCCAGGTGCGCGACGATGTGCGGACCCATCTGGGCGACGCGGTGTACGACACGATCATCCCGCGAAACGTGAGGGTCTCCGAGGCGCCGTCCTACGGCGTGCCCGTCCTGCTCCACGATTTCCGCTGCCCCGGCGCCCAGGCCTACGCTCACCTCGCGGGCGAGATGCTCCGGCGCGAGCGAACGCCAGAAGGAGAGCGCTGCATGACACCCGGACCGCGAGCGGCCAGCCGCGCCAGCGCGGCCTCGGCAAGGGCCTCGCCGCCCTCCTCGGCGAAACCATGGAGCCGGGACGCCGCGGGCCAGGCAGGGGCGCGCTGCTCTCAATCCCGATCGAGCACCTGAGCGCCCCATCCCAATCAACCGCGCCAACACTTCGACGAGACGAGATCGAGAGCCTGGCCGCCTCGATCCGCGAGAAGGGCATCGTCCAGCCTCTGGTGGTGCGGCCGGGCGACGACGGCGGCGCGCCCTACCAGATCGTCGCCGGCGAACGGCGCTGGCGGGCGGCGCAGCGGGCGGGCCTCCACGAGCTGCCGGCGGTGGTCCGCCACCTGAGCGAGGCCGAGAGTATCGAAATCGCGCTCGTCGAGAACCTTCAGCGCCGCGACCTGAACCCGCTGGAGGAAGCCAGTGCCTACCGCCGCCTGATTCGGGAGTTCGACCACCGCCAGGAGGATGTCGCGACCGCGCTCGGCAAGTCGCGCAGCCATGTGGCCAACACGGTGCGCCTCCTCGATCTCCCCGAGAAGGTGAAGGCGCTCGTCGGCGACGGCACGCTGAGCGCGGGCCACGGGCGGGCGCTGCTGGCGGCCGCCGATCCTGCAGCGCTTTCGGACACGGTGGTGCGCTTAGGGCTTACCGTGCGCCAGACCGAAGCGCTCGTGCGCCGTGCCGGGAGGGGCGCACCGGCCGGACGAGGCCCCCGACGTCCGACCCCAACCTCAAGGCGCTGCAGGACGACCTCGGCCGCGCGCTCGGCCTCAAGGTGACCATCGACCCCTGCTGCGCGCGGCGACCGGCGGTCGCATGACGATCGCCTACAAGGAGCCGGAGCAGCTCGACGCGCTCATCGGGCGTCTCCGGGTGCCCTCGCAGTCTTGAGTCGCGATAGGGTAGCGCCGTAGATTGATTCCGAGTTTAGCTTTTTATATCAAGGGCCTGAGCGCTCCCACCTAAAATAATATGTCTTGCTAACTATATCTGCGATTCGCGGTCTGCGGTACGCGCGTTGCGCCGAGATATCTATTAGCATGACATGTTCGTTTGGGCGTCCATCAGCCCGAATCACCCTGCATTACCCGCATTTCTCACCAGGGCCCCGGCCTCTCCCCTCCCGACTCACCGGACCATGGTGCAATGCAGGGTGTGCGGTTTCTGCGCCACGATCGCGGCATGGGCCGATCATATTCCCGTGCGCGTATCCGCGCGCCGCAGCGCGAGAGCAGGTGGGCCAAGGCAGCCGGAGTGTGCGGGCGGACGCGAACCTATTCCGCGTGCACGACCCTATGTGACCCGGGCGCGACCTTGCCCGCGGAATCCCACTTAGCCCACTTAATCCCAGCCGAATCCCGCTCAATAAATAGATTCTACCCGGAGCGGACGGCGGAACCCGACCGCGGCCGTGGTGAGAAATACGGGTCAGGTGTTCATCGAGGCGAAAAAGTCCTCGTTGGTCTTGGTCGTCTTGAGCTTGTCGACCAGGAACTCCATAGCGTCCGCCGTGCCCATCGGCGAGAGGATGCGGCGCAGCACCCACATCTTGGCGAGCGTCGCCCGGTCGACCAGCAGCTCCTCCTTGCGGGTGCCGGAGCGCGCGATGTCCATGCTGGGCCAGGTCCGCTTGTCGGCGAGCTTGCGGTCCAGGATGATCTCGGAGTTTCCGGTGCCCTTGAACTCCTCGAAGATCACCTCGTCCATTCGGGAGCCGGTGTCGATCAGCGCCGTCGCAATGATCGTGAGCGAGCCGCCGAACTCGATATTGCGGGCCGCGCCGAAAAAGCGCTTGGGCCGCTGCAGCGCGTTGGCATCGACGCCGCCGGTCAGCACCTTGCCGGACGACGGCACCACCGTGTTGTAGGCGCGCGCCAAGCGGGTGATCGAATCCAGCAGGATCACCACATCCCGCTTGTGCTCCACCAGCCTCTTGGCCTTCTCGATCACCATCTCGGCCACCTGGACGTGGCGTGTGGCCGGCTCGTCGAAGGTCGAGCTCACCACCTCGCCCCTCACCGAGCGGTCCATGTCGGTGACCTCCTCGGGCCGCTCGTCCACCAGCAGCACGATGAGATAGGCCTCGGGGTGATTCGCCTCGATCGAGTGCGCGATGTTCTGCAGCATCATGGTCTTGCCGGTGCGCGGCGGGGCCACGATCAGCGCCCGCTGCCCCTTGCCGAGCGGGGCCACGATGTCGAGGATACGGCTGGTGGTGTCCTTTCGCGCGGGGTCGGCGACTTCCATACTGAAGCGCTGCTCGGGGTAGAGCGGCGTCAGATTGTCGAAATTGACCTTGTGGCGGAGGTTCTCCGGCGGGTCGAAATTGATGTTGTTGAGCTTGAGCAGGGCGAAGTAACGCTCGCCGTCGCGGGGCGCCCTGATCTGGCCCTCCAGCGTGTCGCCGGTCCGGAGGCCGAAGCGGCGGATCTGGCTCGGGCTCACATAGATGTCGTCGGGGCCGGGCAGATAGTTGGACTCCGGCGAGCGCAGAAAGCCGAATCCGTCCTGCAGGGTTTCCAGCACGCCCGAGCCGAAGATCGCCTGATCGTTCTCGGCAAGTTGCCGCAGAATCGCGAACATCAGGTCCTGCCGGCGCATCGAGTTCGCGTTCTCGATCTCGAGCTCCTCGGCGTAATCGATCAATTGAGTCGGGGTCTGGGTCTTCAGCTCTTGCAGATGCATGATGGGTGCTGCCGTTGTGGACGGGGAATCGCACCGCCGGACGGCGGCACGTGAAGGGCGCAAACCTGATGAGGACGGCGAGCGACTTTTTTGAGAGGGCGTGCCGACGGCGGGCAGGAAGCCCGCCCGCTGCGGCGGACGCATGCTTTACCCTATCGGGTGCCGTTCCGCTGTGTCAAACGAAGATTCCATGTCGGTATGCCCGGTGCTCATACCGTCGCGACAGCATCCAGCCGAGGCTGCTTGAACTGCTTGGCGAGCGCGAGACCCTGGCGCTGATACGAAGAGCCGATGCCGCGCCCGTAGAGCTCTGCCGGCCGCTCGGTCAGCGGCTCGAAGAGAAGCCGGCCGATTGTCTGGCCATCCTCGATCATGAAGGGCACGTCGTGGGAGCGGACTTCGAGGACCGCACGCGTGCCGCCGCCGCCGGCTTCGTCATGCCCGAAACCCGGATCGAAGAAGCCCGCGTAGTGCGCGCGAAACTCGCCGACCAGCGTATCGTACGCCACCATCTCAGCGGCGTGGTCCGGCGGAATACGCACCGATTCTTTCGACGCCAAGATGTAAAAGTCGTCCGGGTTCAGGATCACGCCGGCAGCGCTCGGCCGCGCGATCGGCTCCCAGAAGTCGGCGGGATCGTAGCGGCCAACCTGGTCAAGGTCGATCAGGTCGGTATGGCGCTTCGCCTTCCAGCCGACGAGGCCACCGCCGCTGCCAGCAAGATCGACGGAGAGCGGCAGGCCGCCGGCAAAGCCGCCGCGCGCAACCTCCCCCTCGATCAGGCGCCGTTCTGCGTGCAGGCGCTCGAGCGCACCTTCGGAATAGCCGGGCGCCCCACGCTTGAAGCGTATCTGGTTGAGCCGGCTTCCCGCGCGCACCACGATGCTGAAGGTGCGGGGCGAGACCTCGGCGTAGAGCGGCCCCCGGTGGCCGGGTTGCACCCGGTCGAACTCGTGCGCCTCGTCGGCGATGAGCCGGGTGAAGATGTCGAGCCGCCCGGTGGAGCTCTTGGGGTTGGCGTGCGCTGAGACGTCAGGCGCGAGCGCGAGGCTCTCCATCAGCGGGACGATGTAGACGCAGCCACGCTCCAGCACGGCGCCGGGCGCGAGGTCGATCTCGTGCATGCCTAAACGCTCGATCTTCGCGCGGACGCTCTCGCGGCCCGGCAGGAAGCTCGCACGCACCCTGTGCGCGGTTGGCCCCAGCCTGAGATCGAGGCTCGCCGGCTGTATCTGGCCCGTCCCGATAGGCACCGCCGCGTCGACCCCGCCCTCAGCGATCAACACCGCGATCGCCGTGCTTGAGAGGACCCCGGCTCGCTCAGCCATTGCTCACGCTCCCCGCCGGCTCAGAACGGCTTGACGATAGCCAAAACGACGATTCCAATCATGGCCAGCGTCGGCACCTCGTTCATCATGCGAAAGAAGCGCTCGCTGCGGCGGTTGCGGTCGGCGGCGAAGTCGCGGCGCCAGCGCGCGAGCAACCCGTGATACGCAGCGAGCAGCGCCACCAGGGCGAGCTTAGGATAGATCCAGATATCGCCAGACCAGTCGACCGAGCCCGGGTGCGCCAGCAAGGCGCCACCGAAGGCGAAGGTCGCCACCATGGCCGGGTTGATGATCGCCCGGAGCAGGCGCCGCTCCATGACCTTCAGGGTCTCCGAAAGCTCTGAGCCCGTCTCGGCGCGAGCGTGATAGACGTAGAGCCGGGGCAGGTAGAGCATCCCCGCCATCCAGGCGATCACCGCGATCACGTGCAGCGCCCGGAGCCAGTGTAGAGATCGTCGGCCATCACTGCGCAGCCAGCGGGCAGCAGCGGTGGACGCCGGGACAGAGCCGCCCGCCCTCGCCGGAATCCAGCCCAGAGACGCTACTCGCCGTGAAAGCGCCGCGCGAGAGGTCAGCAAGAGCCGAAATGAACGAAGGATGGGTGCCGAGTGCCGGTACCCGGTGGTAGGCGGGCACACCCACGGCACGCGCGTGATCCCGATAGGTGACGTCGAGCTCCACCAGTGTCTCACTATGCTCGGAGACGAAGGCGACCGGTACCACCACGACTGGCACGCGGTCGCGGCCAGCCCGCTCGATTTCCTCGGCGATAGAGGGTTCCAGCCAGGCCAGCGGCCCCACCTTGCTCTGGTAGCAGACTGCCCAGTCCAGCGCCTCCCGCCCCAGTCCGGCGACGATCCGCCGCGCGGTCTCCTCCACCTGCCACTGATAGGGATCGCCGCGTGCGACCACGCGCTTGGGCAGGCCGTGGGCTGAGAAGAGCAAGCGCGGTTCACCGGCCTCTGCTGCGGCCGCCAACAGCGGCTCGATCAGCGCCGCGTGGGCCGCCACCAACCCTTCCGCCCGCGGATAGCAGCAGACAGCATGCGTCGGTGCGGCAATTCCCACAGCCCCTGCCGCCGACCGCCAGGCAGCAAGAGACGATGCCGTGGTCGTGGTCGAGAACTGCGGGTAGAGAGGCAACAGTACGATCCGATCCGGCCGGAAGGCGGCAATCTTACGTGCCGCCGCCTCGCTCATCGGATGCCAGTAGCGCATCGCAATGGCGACCTCGACCTCGCCGAGATCCTCCAAGGCGCGGCCAAGCGCAGCCGCCTGCGCCTCGGTCCCGCCAAGCAGCGGCGAGCGCCCGCCGATCGTGCGATAGATGTCCCGCGCTTCCGGGCCGCGGCGGCGTGCGATCCGGTGGCCAATCAAATGGCGCACGAGTGCCGGCGCACGAATGATTGCCGGATCCCGGAACAGATTACGCAGAAAAGGTTCGACGGCATCGAGCGAGTCCGGCCCGCCCAGGTTGAACAGAACCACGGCAATGCGGCTCATTGTCCGTTCCCGTCAGGCCACCCGCGCACGAGTTCCGAGAGCGCGGCGACGTGCTCAGGCGGGGTCTGCGGCACCACGCCTTCGCCGAGGTTGAACACGAAGGGTCCGTGCCCGAGCGCATCCAGAATGACGCTGCGCGGCACGGCGCAGCGCAGCGCCGCCCACGACCAAAGCCGCGGGATCGAGGTTGCCCTGTACCGTGCATCGCTGTTGCAATTTCGCCGCTGCCCAGGCGGCGCCACGGTGCTGTCGATGGAGACCGCATCCACGCCGGTCGTCTTGGCGAAGCGCTCGTAAGCGACGCCAGCGCCACGCGGATAGCCGATCACCGGGGCCGCCGGGTGCACAGCCTTCACGGCGGCCACGATCTTCGCCACAGGCTCGACAGACCAGCGCTGAAACTCACTCTCAGGCAATGCCCCAGCCCAGCTATCGAAGATCTGAACCGCTTCGGCGCCTGCGTCGAGCTGGGCGATCAGGTGCGCAGCGACCGCCTCCTGCACTGTCTCGATGAGCCGTGCGAAGCTCTCGGGATCGCGATAGGCCCAGCCCTTCACGACCATGAAGTCTCTGCTCTTGCCACCGCCGACCATGTACGTTGCGAGCGTCCACGGCGCTCCTGCAAAACCCAGAACCGTCGCGCCGGCAGGCGCAGCCGCGACGACCCGCTCCATGGCCTCGTAGACTGTGCGAGATGCCGCCGCTGACGTCCCTCATCGAAGACCGGGAGGGAGTCTCTCCCTCCCGTATCGGCTCCAGGCACGGACCCTCGCCCTCCTGGAACCAGAGCTTCACCCCGAGCGCCTCGGCCACCACCAGAATGTCCGAAAAGAGAATCACACCGTCGAGGTCGAACTCGCTTCAGTGGCTGAAGGCTTGCCTCCGCCGCCAACGCCGGGTCGTAGCAGAGGTCGAGGAAGGATCCGGCCCTGGCTCGCAGCGCGCGATATTCCGGCAGATAGCGGCCCGCCTGGCGCATGAGCCAGAGCGGCGGCGGGTGCCGCACCTCACCCCGAAGGGCGGCGAGAAGCGGCTTGGTGTGTGCGTCCACGATCACGAATCGGCCTTTATCCCCGGCTTTGGCAGACTATCTACATTAAATGAATTTAGAGAAGGTGGTTGATGTTGCAGGCAGGGAAGAGGGGATTGTTCCGTTCATCCCAGAGGTGGGGCAGGTGATGGATCAGGCCGGATGGGCGCGGCGGCGGCGGTGGAAAAACCGCCAATAGCTGCCATTGAACGGGTTTCCAGCGTGGCTGAGAAAGCGGGAACAACGTGGAACGATGTGGAGTATGGTGGTGCTTTCACCGATATCCCCACTATGCCGAGCCTGCGGATTGGTTGATCCGGCAAGCTGGGGACAAGTTGCAAGGAGGCGGCAGCGGCTGCGTTGCTCACCGAATTTTCCATAGTTGAGCGTTGATAGCACACGCTGCGAGAACTGCGTGACCGGGAACCCGAGCGAACCCATGCGGCGCTTCCATCTGCACCTGGTCTCCGACGCCACCGGCGAGACCTGCATCACGATAGCGCGGGCCGCGGCGGCACAATTCCAGGGCGTGGATGCCGTCGAGCATCTGTGGTCGCTCGTCCGCACGGAAAGCCAGCTCCGTCGCGTTCTCGCCCATGTCGAGGCCGAGCCCGGGGTCGTCATGTTCACCCTGGTCGACCCGCAGCTCCGCGCCCTTCTGCATGAGGAATGTCGGCGCATCGATGTTCCCTGCATCCCCCTCCTCGACACAGTGATTGCGGCGTTGAGCGGCTTCCTCGGTATCGAGAGCCGCAATCAGCCGGGCCGCCAGCATGTCATGGATGCAGCGTATCTGAAGCGCATCGAGGCGATGAACTTCGCGCTCGGACACGATGACGGCCGCTCGTCGGCGACGCTGGGCGAGGCGGATATCGTGCTCGTCGGCGTGTCCCGGACGTCAAAGACACCCACCTGTTTCTACCTCGCCAATCGGGGCCTCAAGGCCGCGAACGTACCGGTGGTTCCTGCGTGCCCGTTACCGCCAGAGCTCGGGGGGTTGACGGATGCGTTGGTTGTCGGCCTCACCTGCCACCCGGAGCAACTGATCGATGTCCGCCGCAGCCGCATGCGCATGATCGGCGACATTGGCGAGACCGGCTATGTCGATCCCCTCCAGGTCGAGGAGGAGGTGAGACAGGCGCGGCGACTCTTCGCGGAGTCCGGGTGGCCGGTAATCGACGTGACGCGCCGCTCGATCGAGGAGACCGCCGCCGCGATCCTCCAGCTGCACGACCGCCGTGCTTAGGCCGGCCGAGCGGTTGGCGCGGCGGCGGAAGCGTATATTCTGCGATACGCACGAGACCAGCGGGAGGAGGACGGCGAATTCATGCCAAGTGCTGAGGCGGGTCCGGCTTCTCACGGAGAGGTCGGTGACAGGCAACTCGTGCTCGCCTCTCAGGCGGCTGTGCGGGCGTCGATGCTGACAGGCAGTCGGACTCTCCTTCACGGTGCAGCCGGCGCGAGTGGACGAGGGCGCGGTCAAGGACGCCATGCGGACCGAAGATACCCGAGGGCCGGGAGACCGCGCGGGCGCTCGCGTCACTCAAGGCCCGCCGGGTCAGCGCCGGCGCGCCCGGCGCCTTCGTCATCGGCGCCGACCAGCTCCTCGTCTGCGGCGATGAGTGGTTCGACAAGCCGGTGGATGTGGAGGACGCGCGGGGGCAGTTGAAACGGCTGAGGGGCCGCCGCCACACCCTGGTGACCGCCGTCTGCGTGGTCCGCGACGAGGCTGAGATCTGGAGCGATGTGGCATGTCCGCAGCTCACGATGCGGCCCTTCTCCGACACCTTTCTGGAACGCTATCTGGCCCGAGCGGGCGATGGCATCCTTGCCTGCGTCGGGGGTTACGAGGCGGAGGGGCTGGGCGCGCAGCTCCTCGCGAAGATCGAGGGCGACTGGTTCGCGGTCTGGGCCTGCCGCTGATGCCGCTTCTCGCCTTCCTCCGCGAGCACGGACTGGTGGAAACGTGATCCTCTCCGGCGCGGCGCGGCTGGCAGGGGTCATGGGTTGGCCGGTCGCGCACACTCGCGCTCGCCGCGCATTCACGGCTACTGGCTCGAGGAGAAGGGAATCGACGGTGCTATCTGCCGCTCGCGGTCCGGCCTGAGGCTCTCGGCGCAGCGCTTGCGGCGCTGCCGGCTCTCGGATTTCGCGGCTGCAATCTGACCGCGCCGCACAAGGAGGCCGCGCTTGCCCACATGGCTTCGCTGTCGGAGACCGCGCGCCGCATCGGCGCCGTGAACACTGTGACGGTCGGCGAGGACGGCGCGCTACACGGCGACAACACCGATGGCTTCGGCTTCATCGGCCACTTGCGTCAGGAGCGCACCGTCCTGGGAGCCCGCTCTACCGGTGGCGATGCTTGGCGCTGGCGGCGCAGCGCGCGCTGTCGTGGATGCACTCTCTGCCCAAGGGGTTACGGAAATCCGCGCGGCCAACCGCTCGCCGGAGCGCGTGGCGGCGCTCGCCGCAGCGGCCGGCGACACGGTTCGCCCCGTCCCATGGGAGGACCGCGAAGCAGCGCTCGAGGACTGCGGCTTGCTCGTCAACACCACGACCCTCGGCCAGGTGGGTAAGCCTGCGCTCGATCTCGATCTCGGGCGGCTTCCGCCTGAAGCTGTGGTCTACGACCTCGTCTATGCGCCGCTGGAGACCGATTTGCTGAAGGCGGCACGGGCGCGCGGCCATGTGGGGGTGGACGGGCTCGGCATGTTGATTCATCAGGCGCGGCCCGGCTTCGCCGCCTGGTTCGGGGCCGAGGCCGAGGCCACGGCGGCGCTTCGCTCCTTCGCCGCAGACGGGCTCTGACGGGGCCGGGCGTGGTCGTCCTCGGGCTCACCGGGTCGATCGGCATGGGCAAGACGACCGTGGCCGCCGCCCTCAAGGCCTCGGGTGCTGCGGTCTACGACGCCGATGCGGCGGTCCACCGGCTGCTCGCGCCGGACGGGGCCGCGGTGGCGCCGGTGCTCGCACGCTTTCCCGCGGCCGCATCGGGCAAGGGTGCGTCGCGCGCGGTCGACCGAGGGGCGCTCGGCGCCCACGTCTTCGCGGACCCGGCGGCGTTGGCCGAGCTGGAGGCGATCCTGCATCCTCTCGTTCGCGCAGGCGAGCGGCGCTTCCTCGCGGCCAGCCAGCGCCGGGGCTGCCGTCTCGCGGTGCTGGACGTGCCCCTGCTCTTCGAGACCGGCGGCGAAGCCCGCTGCGATGCCACCCTGGTCGTGTCAGCCCCCGCCGTCGTGCAGCGCGCACGGGTGCTGGGCCGGGCACGCATGACCGAAGAACGCCTGGCCGCCATCCTCGCCCGCCAGATGCCGGATGGGGAGAAAGCGCCGGCGCGCGGACTTCGTGATCCGAACCGGGCTCGACAGGCGGGTCTCGCGTCTGGCCGCCCGCAGGATCGCGGCCCGGCTTGCCGGCACGCGCGGCACGCGCTGGCCCGTGTGTTGGGCGGGTGCGCTGAAAACTGCTCAGGGGGATGCTCATGCGTGAGGTCGTGCTCGATACCGAGACCACCGGCCTGGAGCCGTCGGCGGGCCACAGGATCGTCGAAGTCGGCGCCGTCGAGCTGGTGAACCACATCCCGTCCGGCCGGCGCTTCCAGCGCTATCTCGACCCTGAGCGCGACATGCCGGAGGGCGCCGAGCGCGTGCACGGGCTCACCCGCGACTTTCTCGCAAAGCATCGGCGCTTTGCCGAGGAGGCAGACGCGATCCTCGAATTCATCGGCGACGCGAAGCTCGTCATGCACAATGCCCCCTTCGATCTCGGCTTCCTCAATGCCGAGCTGGAACGCATCGGCAAGGCTCCTATCCCGCCGGAACGGACCGTGGACACGCTGGTCATCGCGCGCCGCAAGTTTCCCGGTGCGCCGGCGAGCCTGGATGCGCTCTGCAAGCGCTTCGGCATCGACCGCTCCCAGCGGGAGAAGCACGGCGCCTTGCTGGACGCCGAGTTGCTGACCGACGTCTATCTCGAACTCACCGGCGGCCGTCAGCCAGCGCTCGGGCTGCAGCAGGCGGTGCGACCGCTCAACGCCGGGCGGGCGCCGCGCGCGGCCCGTGTCCGCCCGCCGCGCCCGCACGCGCCCACTGAGGCGGAGGCGCGAGGCGCACGCCGCTTTCGTCGCGACCCTGAAGAACCCGATCTGGAACGCCTGAGCGGCAGGCAGACGAGCCCGTCAACCGACCCGGGCCATGACGCCGCCGTCCACCGGGAGTGCCACGCCGGTGATGAAGCGGGCGGCGTCGGAGGCGAGAAAGAGCGAGGCCTGGGCGACGTCCCAGGCGCTGCCCATGCCGCCCCTGAGCGGGGTCCAGGTGTCGCGGGTGGCGGCGATCTCCTCGCGCGGGCGGCCGTAGCGGCGGGCTTGCGTGTCCACCGCCATGGGCGTGTCCATGTAGCCCGGCAGGATGGCGTTCACGCGCACGCCGTCGGGCGCACAGTCGAGCGCGAGCTGGCGGGAAAAGGCGATCATCCCTGCCTTGCTCGTCTTGTAGGTCACGGACTTGTAGTCGACCACCGCCGCGATCGACGAGATATTTGGTGATCACGCCGCTGCCCTGGCCCGCATGACCGGGACGACGTGCTTGCAGGCCATCACCGTGCCGCGCAGGTTGATCGCCATCACCCGGTCGAAGCTCGCCTCGTCGAGGTCCGCGAGCGGCGAATCCCCACCCGTATAGGCGACGCCCACGTTGTTCTGCAGCACGTCGATGCGCCCGTGGCGCTCGACGATGACTGGACGACCGCGATCAGTGCCGCCTCCTCGGTCACGTCGGCGACCAGTGCCTCGGCGCTGCCGCCGTCGGCCTCGATCATGGCGGCGGTTTCGTCGGCAGACGCGCGGTCGCGATCGAGCGCGATCACGTGTGCGCCGGCGCGGGCGAAGAGCACACACGTGGCTCGGCCGTTACCGATCACCGGCCCCGGAGTCTGGCCGGCGCCGGCCACGATCGCGACCCGGCCGTCGAGGCTCAGCGTCGGGCTTTGCCAGGGTGCCGCGCTGGCGGCGGAGGTGTCCTCGGTCATGGCGATGTCCGGATTCGCGGTGGAAAGAGGGATCCAAAGGCTCGGCAGTGGCGGGCGTCTTGTCAAGGCGGTGCGGTTGCGCCGCCGGCTGGCGCGTGAGAGCGTGCGCCGCGCCGGCCACAGCACGATCCGACACCCTCCGGGAGCAGACTGTCATGAAAATTGGCGTCACCATCTTCGCCACTGACTATTGCATCGCGCTCACCGAGCTCGCACCGGCGTTGGAGGAGCGGGGGTTCGATGCCCTCTTCGTGCCGGAGCACACCCACATCCCCACCAGCCGCCGCTCGCCCTGGCGGGGCGGGGCGGAGCTGCCGCCGGAATACTCCCACACGCTCGATCCATTCGTGAGCCTCACCGCGGCAGCGGCGGTGACCAGCACGCTCCGCCTTGGCACCGGCATCTGTCTCGTCACCGAACGCGACCCCATCGTCACCGCCAAGGCGGTGGCGAGCCTGGATCTGGTCTCGGGCGGGCGCTTCGAATTCGGCATCGGCGCCGGCTGGAACGCCGAGGAGATGGAGCATCACGGCACCCGCTTCGAGACCCGCTTTCGCCTGATGGAAGACCGGGTCAAGGCCATGCAGGCGATCTGGGCCGCGGACGAGGCCAGCTACGAGGGCGAGTTCACCTCGTTCGAGCCGAGCTGGTCGTGGCCCAAGCCGATGCAGAAGCCGCATCCGCCGATCTTACTGGGGGGTGAGACCGTGCATACGATGCGCCGGGTGATGGATTTCTGCTCAGGCTGGTTCCCGCGCGGCGCGATGCTGCCCGATCCGGCCGAGGGCATGAATCGGCTGAGCGTCGCCGCTGCCGATGCGGGCCGCGACCCGGCCACAGTCTCTGCCACGGTCTTCGGTGCGCCGGCCGAGGCTGGCTATCTGGACGCCTGCCGCGAGGCCGGGATTGACCGCGCGCTGCTATTGTTGCCGTCCGAGGGGCGCGACGGGGTTATGCCGCTGGTCGACCGCTACGCCGCTCTTATCGGATGAGCGGGCGTCGGCTGAGGTGAGCCGGCGTTAGAGAGCGAAAGGCTTCTCTTGCGGCCTCGGCGCCGAGCGCGCCCCAAAGCGCGCCGCCGAGTACGGCCCCGAGCGCGCCCCACGGCTTCTGTTGCGCGAGCGGCCGCTCCGCTCCCCGCCGTCCCTTGACGCGCACCTTGAAGGATTCGTCCGGCGCCGGCAGGGGTATCTGGGTGGTCTTCAGGGTGTAGTCGGTGCGGTCGAGGTCGAGGTCGACCTCGTGCAGGATGGTTGCCATGGTCGCGGCGATCTGCACCTCGGCGAAGCCGTTGCCGAGGCAGCGATGGGGGCCGAGGCCAAAGGGCGCGTAGACGTAGGGCTGCTTGTGCTCCGCCCGCTCCGGACCGTAGCGGTCGACGTCGAAGCGCTCGGGCTCCGGGAAGAATTCGGGCAGGTAGTGGGGCACGGCGGTGGCGATCATCACCCGCTCGCCGGCGGCGATGCGATGGCCCGCGAATTCGAAGGAGTTGGTGGCGGTGCGGATGAGCAGCGGGGTTACCGGATACATCCGCATGGTTTCCAGCGCTGCGCGGTGCATCGTGTCCATCTCGCGCAGGCGCTCGCCCCGGGGCCTGGAGCCGGTGAAGAGCGCTTCCGCCTCCTCCCGCACCCGCTCCAGCACGTCCGGGTGCCGCAGCAGTGCGTAGAGCATGAAGGCGCAGGTGCCCGCCACGGTGTCCAGCGCCGCGACGAAGGGGCCCATCGCCGCGATCTTGAGGTCCGCTCGGGGAAAAAACTTCGGGTCGGCGTCGTGCAGGTCAAGCAGGTCGTCGATCAGGTCCGGCTCGGCGCCGTGCCGCTCCCGCATCGTGCCCGAGTGGCACTCGATCACCTCGTGATAGAGCTTGTCCACCTGCGCTGAGGCGCGGCGGAAGCGCGGCGACCAGCGCAGGTAAGGCCTGGGCACCATGGTGGCCGACAGCAGGCTGTGGACGTAGCAGACCAGGTCGTCGTTGTAGGGGCGCGGCGAGACGCCGGCCACCAGGGTACCCACCTGGTCGGTGACGATCCGCTGCAGCGCCGGCACCGCCGGCATGGGCCGCGTGAGCGGCCACGCCGCGATCTCCCGGCGGGCGATATCGACGAGGCCGTCAATGTGCTCCACGGCGTACTCGCGGGAATAGCCCCGCCTCAACGTGCGGCGAAATGCCGCGTGCTCCGGCCCGTCGGCGCTGAGCGTGGAGCGCGCGGCGCCGAACCAGGCGTTGAAGCCGCTCCAGAACTCGAAGGAGCGAAGGTGCTTCGTGCCCTCCCGCGCGAGGAAGCGGTTGGCCTCCATCCCGCCAGCACGGTGAAGCGCGGTTGAGCAGGCGCATGCCGAACACCGGCCCGTGCTCCATGTAGCTGTCGGTGAGGAAGGCGCGCGTGTCCCGCGCCATGTCGAAGACGCTGCCGACGACCGGCAGGCCCCGCGCCAGCGGAATTGTCTGAGGACGCCATCTCCCAGCCCTCTGCGGTCGTGCCCCTGCCCCTCATCCCGCGGGGCGGGCGGGCCACAGGGTGCCGCCGCTCAGGGAGATAATGGGTCCGAATAGGCCTGAATTCCAGCCCTTCCTGTATGTCGGAAGGTGTTATTCGGTATGCCGCCGGACAATGGGGTGGACGCCAATGCAATTCCGGCACGTCCGAAGTGCCGGGCGGGCCGAACGTTGGGTCGAGACGCGCAGCCCGGGGAAACCGGGGCTCCCAGCGTATGGCAGACGCCGCGCCGCACCATCGTGTGGCAAATGCAGCCGGTTCGATCGCCCCGGCCTGACTAGGTGGCAATCGTTCGCGCGTGGTATAGGCGCGCGCCATCTTCAAAGGGGGGAACGCGGTGGAATTGAGCACCGAACGGCGTGACGGCGTGTTGTTGGCGAACGTGAGCGGGCGGATCGATCCGAAAAGCGCCGGGGCGCTCGAGACGGCGATTACCGGTGCGCTCCAGAACGGCGACCGCGCCGTGATCCTGGATTTCGAGCAACTCGTCTATATCGGCAACACCGGCATTCGCGCGCTTCGAATCATCGCCAGGATCCTTCGCGATCGTGGTGCAGCCTTGGCCATTTGCTCGCCGCAGGGTGTCGTCGCCGCGGTCTTCTCGGGGAGCGGTGTGGACATGCTCGTCACGGTCCACCCTGACCAGGGCCGCCGCCCTTGAGGCCCTCAACACCTGACAAGGTGCCGCCCTCTTCTCGGCCGCCCGCTCCGCGGCGGATGCCGAGCCCGGCACGATGCGGGGGTGTATGGCACCGGACGACCAGCGCTTCCTCTATATCACTCGCGCATAGTTGATCGCCCGCGGGGTTGGCACGGGTTGCAATCGCTCGTATCGTTCGTCCACGCCGAGTACAGGGGCTGGGCGACGACATGCGATCTCCGACAAGGGCTGTGGACTGCGTCCGCTCATCCGGGAGCTAGAGCGTGGAAGCCGCGCGTATCGTTATCGAGGTCCTGCAGTACTACGGCTATGTCGGGCTCGCCGTCGCGGCCGCATTCCTGCTTTTCGGCATCGAGCGGGTGGATGCGGGCGCGCGACGCTCCTACGCCTTCCGCCCTCTCCTGATTCCGGGCTGTATCGTACTCTGGCCGCTGGTGATCGTCCGCTGGGTCGCGGCGGAACGGCAGCGCGGCTGAGCGGTCTCTCGTCGTGCAGCGCCGCCACCGCACCACCCACGCCTACATCTGGAAGGCGCTCGCCATTTTCCTGCCGGCGATGCTGATCGCGGCGCTTGCCGTTCGCCAGCACGGGCCGACCGAGAAAGCCGCCGTGCAGATCGAAAAGCCCGCCGCCGAGGCCGAGGCACCTGCCGAGGGAACCGAGCCGTGAGGCAAGGGGCTGAGCGATGAGCGTGCGCTACGCGCCGGTCGGCTGGAACCGCAACAAGATCATCTACGATGTCGTGCTGCTGGCGGCCGCCGTCGCGTACATCCTTATCTTCATCAAGATCGCGCCGAGCTTCCAGGACGTCACACGGCCGACCAGCGGGGCGATCCTCAGGGCGCAGGCCTTCGGCACCTGCGCGTTCCTGATGCTCACGTTCATCCTCTGCATCGGGCCGCTGGCGCGGCTGGATACGCGCTTTCTGCCGTTGCTCTACAACCGCCGCCACTTCGGCGTGATCACCTGCGCGGTGGCGTTCACCCACGCGAGCAGCGTCGTCAGCATCTATTTCTCGTTCAGCCCTCTCAACAAGTACGTCGCCGTGCTCGCGAGCAACTCGAGCTACGACCGCTTTCTCGGCTTCCCCTTCGAGACCTTCGGCATCTTCGCGCTCTTCCTGCTGCTGGTGCTTGCGGCCACGAGTCACGACTTCTGGCTCAAGTTCCTGACGCCGCCGCATCTGGAAGGCGATCCACATCTCGGTCTATGTCGCCTATGCGTCGCATCGTCTGCCACGTGGCGCTCGGCTCCTGCAGTCGAAGCAAAGCCCGCTCCTCGCCGTCATCGTCGGTTTGAGCGTGGTTGCGGTCACCGGCCTGCACCTCGTTGCCGGGCGCATTGAGCGGCAGAAGGACCGGAATACCGCCGAGAACGCCGAGGAGGCACACTGGGTCGTCGCCGGCGATGTGGAGTCCGTGCCTGACGGGCGCGGTATCGTCGTGCCGCTGGAAGACGGCGAGCGGGTCGCGGTCTTCCGTTACGGCGACAAGCTGTCGGCCCTTGCCAACGTCTGCGCCCATCAGAACGGGCCGCTCGGCGAGGGGCGCATCATGGATGGCTGCGTGACGTGCCCGTGGCACGGCTTCCAGTACCGGCCAGAGGACGGCTGCTCGCCGCCGCCCTTTACCGAGAAAGTCGCAACCTATCGGCTCAAGCTCGACGGCAGGCGGATCCTGCTCGATCCCCGGCCGAACGCGCCCGGCACCTTTGTCGAGCCGGTGCGCGTCGAGCCCGCGAGCGTGACGGAGGCATAAGATGGCAGGCCGCGCGCCGGACCCGGGCTTCTTCGTCGGCTACTTGAACACCGTGCCGCGCCCGCTCGCCATCTTCCTGGTGGTCGCAGCGGCCTTGCTCGTGGGCGGCATGGCCGGATTGGCCTTCGCCATCGGCACCAATGTGAACGATCCCGGAGACGGTGCGTTCGCCCGCAAGCTCGGAAAGCAGGCGATGAGCGGCGTGCTGCTCGAGAATCCCTATCCGATCCTGCGGGTGCGCCCGGACGCGAACAATCCCGAGCCCCGCACGATCATGCTCACCGTGCCCGGCAAGCGCAGCGTCAAGCGCCGCGGTCGCAAGCTCTTCGATCAAGTGGTCGATGTCAGCGGCTTCCTCTTCCAGCGCGGCGACATCGACATGCTGCAGGTCCAGGGCAGGAACTCGTTGATAGCGGCGGAGGCGGGCGAAGGCGAGCCGCCGCCCACCTTCACCCCGGCGCCGGCCGAATCCCTCGGCCGCTGGCGCCTCATCGGCGAGATCTGCGACAGCAAATGCCATCTGGGCGCCATGCGCCCGGGCGACGGGCTTGCGCACAAGGCTTGCGCCAATCTCTGCATTTCCTCAGGCGCCCCGCCGATCTTCGTCACGGAGGAGGAAGGCGCGGTCGAGGGCGAGACGTTTCTGCTGATGGCCAATCAGGACGGCGGGCCGCTCCCCGATAACTTCGGCGACTATGTCGCGGTCCTCGTCGAGCTCGAAGGCGAGGTCGAGCGCCTCGACGATCTCCTCGTCTTCAAGGTCGATATCGACAAGGCCGAGGTGCTCTGAGCGATGCGCAACGCCGCCTGGATCGTCGTCGGCATGATTGCAACCGCGGGCCTCGGTTACGCGTCCTACTGGGTCTATCTGGAGGTCCAGCAGCAGATTCGCGGCACGCTGATCTCCGGTTTCGGCATCTTCGCAGGCGTCATGGGCGCCTTCGCCCTGCTCGGCGTGGCCCACGTGGTCTCCACTCAAGCCGAGCGTCTGCTATGCAGGCGCAAGACGCCCTCGGCCGACGGGGGCGCGTGACGTTCGATAAGGCTCCGCGCATGCCCCGCGCGGCGGCAGAAGGCACAAGTCGATGAACAAGATCGCAATCAAGACGCTTGACGAATTGGGTGACCGAGAGCCGGCCTACGCGCTAGTCGGCGACGTCGATCTCTGCGTCGTGCGCTACGACGACAACGTGTCGGTCTTCTACGGCCGCTGCCTGCACCGGGGCGCGCTCATGGCCGACGGCCATGTCGACGGCGAGAACCTGATCTGCGGCGTCCACTACTGGGACTACCGCCTCGATACCGGCGTCAGCGAATACAATAACGAAGAAGTCCTGCCCAAGTTCACCTCGTGGACTGAGGACGGCCAGGTTTTGGTCGATGCGGACGAGATCGGCGCTTGGGGGCAGGACCACCCGCAGCCCTTCAATCGGGATGAATATCAAGGCCTCTACGCCGACACCCACCCCGCGCCCGAAGAGCCCCATGTGGGGCTCATCCAGGGCTATGCCAGGGACGGGCTCAGCAAGACCGGCCACCACGGCGTCGTCGTGGCCATGGGCGTGCCGCGTCAGGATCTGCCGAGCTGGGACGACATCCAGTTCATCACGGCGCAACTTCACCGCATGCCGCACTTCGATGACGAGGCCGTCGGCACCGAGGTGGTGATCGGCCCCAACGCCCAAAAACCGCTCACGCTCGACATTCCGCTCCTGGTCTCGGACATGAGCTTCGGCGCGCTCTCGGAGCCCGCCAAGGTCTCGCTCGCGCGCGGAGCGGAGCTCTCCGGCACCGGCATCTGCTCGGGCGAGGGCGGCATGCTGCCGGAGGAGCAGCAGGCCTGCAGCCGCTACTTCTACGAGTATGCCTCCGGGCGCTTCGGCTTCTCCTGGGACAAGCTCGAACACGTGCAGGCCTTCCACTTCAAGGGCGGCCAGGGTGCCAAGACCGGCACCGGCGGGCACCTGCCGGGCGACAAGGTAAGGGGCAAGATCGCAGAGGTGCGCGGGCTTCCGGAAGGCTCGCCCGCAGTCTCGCCACCGCGCTTCCCGGACTGGACGGACTGGCGCCAGGTGAGAGATTTCGCCGACGAGGTACGCAGCCACGACCGGCGGCATCCCCATCGGCTACAAGCTCTCGGCCCAGCATATCGAGAAGGATATCGACGCCGCGCTCGAGGTGGGCGTCGACTACATCATCCTGGATGGGCGCGGCGGCGGCACAGGTGCTGCGCCGCTCATCTTCCGCGACAACATCTCGGTGCCGACCATTCCGGCGCTGGCGCGCGCGCGCCGCCACCTCGACGCGTCGGACCGCCAGGACGTGACGCTGATGATCACCGGGGGCCTGCGCAAGCCCGCCGACTTCGCCAAGGCGCTGGCGCTCGGCGCGGATGCGGTCGCGGTCTCCAACGCCGCGATTCAGGCGATCGGCTGCCTTGCATGCGCGCCTGCCACACAAACAACTGCCCGGTCGGCATCGCGACCCAGAAGCCGCATCTCACCGCGCGGATCGAGATCGAGAAGTCTGCGCGCCGCCTCGCCAACTTCTTCGAGGCGAGCGTCGAGCTAATGAAGATCATGGCGCGCGCCTGCGGTCATTCGCACCTGAACAAGCTCGCGCTCGACGACCTCGTGACCTGGAAAGAGGATATGGCGCGGCTTGCGGGCGTCGCCTACGGCGGGATCGGCGGCTAGCGAGCGCTAGAGGTTCTTCGCGAACTCTCTATTCGCGGCCGGAATCTCGGGGACCGTGCCCAGGTAAGCGTGCCGTGACATGTCGGGCGAGTACTTGCTCGCCGGCGGGTGGCGGCCGAGCGCCTCCGCCATGCTGCGGATGTGGTGGGGTGCCGCGCCGCAACAGACCCCGAGATAGTTGACGCCGAGCGCCCGCGCGTCCTTGGTGAATTCCGCGATCTCGTAGCGGTTGCAGGCGAGGTTGTCGAGCGCGGTGGGGAAGGCGCGTCCCTCCGGCAGGCAGGCGCAATCCGGGTCGCTGAGCGACATGAAGGTCGGCTCGTCGGCGCGGGTGCGGTAGGCCACCGGCAGCGCCGAGACGTGGCAGCTCACCGCCTTACGGATGGCCCCCAACAGCGCCAGCATGGTCGCCGGGCCGCGCGCGCAGTTGAGCCCGACCACGTCGGCGCCGCGTCCTCCAGGCGCTTGCAGGCCTCGGCCGGGGTCAGTCCCTCGCGCGTGTGCGGGTCGCGGAAGATGGCGAGGTTGATCACCGCGGGCAGGCCGCCGCCTTGATCGCTGCGAGCGCGAGCAGGGCCTCGCTCACATAGCCGATGGTCTCGGCGACGATGAAGTCCACGCCCTCGTCCACGGCCCAACCCACCTGCTCGTCGAACATGGCACGCACCGTCCGCGCGGACTCAGGATCGCCGTCCACGAAGATGTTGGAGTTGCACACATTGCCGGCGACCAGCGCGCCGCCCTCTTGCGCCACCACCCGCGCGAGGCGGATCGCGGTGCGGTTCATCCTTTCGAGCCCATCTTCCTTGCCGATCAGCCTGAGCTTCTCCCGATGGGCGTAGTAGGTGAAGGCGAGCATCACGTCGGAGCCAGCGCGCAGGAAGTCCCGGTGCAGCCGTATCACCGCATCGGGGTGTTCGAGCACCGCCTCGGGCACGTAGGGGCCGGCGGTGACATAGCCCGCGCGCTCGAGCTCGAACAAATAGCCCTCGGCGCAAATGACCGGTCCCGCTTCGAGCCGTTCAAGAAGGCCCGGCGCCGCAGCCGCAACAGGGTCAGTCATGCAAGCATTCTCCTTGTTCGCGCTGGCGGTGCGGCTGAGCGTCTCCCCTGAGCCCCGATCAGCGCTATAGGTGCTTCGAGAACGCCTTGTATTTGGACGGCACCTTCTCGGACGTGCCGTAAAAGGCGTGCGTGGTCATGTCGGGCGAGTACTTGCTCGCCGTCGGCCGGCGGCCGAGCGCTTCCGCCACGGCGCGGATGTGGTGGGGACCGGCGCCGCAGCAGACCCCGAGATAGTTCACGCCGAGCGCCTGAGCCTCCCTGGTGAACTCCTCGATCTCGTAGCGGTTGACGGTGAAGGGATCGAGCGCGGTCGGGAAGGGGCGCCCATCCGGCAGGCAGCCGCAACCGGGATCGCTGAGCGACTGGAAGGTCGGCTCGTCGGCACTCGTGCGGTAGGCCACCGGGAGCGCCGCGACGTGGCAGCTCACCGCCTCGCGGATGGGGCCCAGGAGCGGCAGCATGGAGGCCGGGCCGCGCGCGCAATTGAGCCCGACCACGTCGGCGCCCGCGTCTTCCAGGCGTTTTGCCGCCTCGGCCAGGCTCGATCCGTCCCGAGTGTTCGGGTCGCGGTGGACGGCGAGATTGATCACTGCGGGCTGGCCGGCCGCCTTGATCGCGTCGAGCGCGAGCAGGGCCTCGCCCAAGAAGGAGATGGTCTCGGCGACGATGAAGTCCACGCCCTCGTCGACGGCCCAGGCCACCTGCTCATCGAACATGGCGCGTACCGTGCGGGCGGATTCGGCATCGCCGTCCACGAAGATGTTGGAGTTGCACACGTTGCCGGCGACCAATGCGTCGCCTTCCTGCGCCGCCTCGCGGCGAGGCGGAGCGCGGTGCGGTTGATCTCCTCGAGCGTGTCCTCCTTGCCGATCACCCTGAGCTTTTCGCGATGGGCGTAGTAGGTGAAGGCGAGCATGACGTCCGAGCCCGCATGCAGGAAGTCGCGGTGCAATTGGGCCACGACCTCGGGGTGGTCCAAAACCGCTTCCGGCACATAGGCGCCGGCGGAGAGATAGCCGCGGCGCTCGATCTCGAACAGATAGCCCTCGGCACAAATGACCGGTCCTGCCGCCAGCCGCTCGAGAAGACCCGGTCCGCCAGCCACCGTTGCGTCAGTCATGGTGCAGCCCTTCCTGTTGCTAACCGCCGGCCTGGCCGGGGTGCAGTGGCGAGTCCTTCACCCGCCACAGGAACCGCCGCACGATATCGCCGTAGCCGGCGAACACGAAACCTCCATTGTCGGCGAGCACCCGCTCCCGTTCCGCGCGGTAGACGCGGGGCAGGTCGTACCACGGGATGCCGGGTCGCTCGTGGTGGAGCGCATGAAAATTGTTGCTGAGGAAGAGCAGCTTCATCAGGGGGCCGGCCTCGACGATGACAGTGCGCTCTGCCTGGTCCGCCGCCGGGCGATGTTCGTGATAGGAGCGCAGCAGGATGAGCGCGGTGCCCGGATAGACGTAGAGCATTACATAAGCCCAGAGCGGGATGCCGCAGACGACCAACACCCAGACCAGCACCAGCGCCGTCAGCACAACATGTGTCGCCCAGATTTGCGCGCATCCCGGCTCACCGCGGACGAGCCGGGCGCCTTCCTCGCGCCAGAAGGCGAGAATTGCCAACGCCGGCCCCAGCAGCAGCCGGCCGGCCAGCGTGTTGTGGACCCGTAACAGGAACCGCCGGCCCGGGCCCAGCCGACGCCACCGCGCAGGGTCAACGTAGAAGCTTTCGGTGTCGGCCAGCGGGTCGGTCAGGTGCGGGGTGGCGTGGTGCCGGAGGTGCCGGCTGCGGTAAAGGGAGTACGGCAGCCACAACGCGATCGGCGCCATGGCCAGTGCTGTGTTGAGCTCGGGCCGGCGCGTCGGATGTCCGTGGATCACCTCGTGCTGCAGGCTGCCGTGCCAGCCGATCAACCAGCCGCCGAGGGGCAGGACCAGCCACCACGGCAGCGCATGATGGTACCAGGTGAGCGCCAGCCACCCGCCGTAGATCGCCGCCGCCACAAGCCACGTCGGCCCCTCGACACGTCGCCAGAGGGCAGGGAGTTCCGCTCGTGCGAGGGAATTGTCGAGAACTTGTTCCACGGCGACCCGGTTGTGGCGGCGACGACGGTCCACACTGCGACCTGCCCGCCGGTGAAACAACGTGGGAATTCGCTCGCTTCATCACACTATGCGACGATATTGCGTAATCTATGATATAAAACACCAAACGATGACCTTACGTTCAATCAGGAGAAAAGGCGCATGGACCGGCGCGATACGGCGCAACGCTTCCGCGAGCGGCTGCGCGAGGCCATGGAGAGAGGCCGGGTCAACCGCTCGACACTCGCCGCCCGCATCGGCATCGACCGTTCCACGCTCTCGCAGCTTCTTTCATCGGAGGTCGACCGCCTGCCCCGCGCCGATACCGCTGCGGCGATCGCGTCCGCGCTCAATGTCAGTCTCGACTGGCTGCTCGGACTCAGCCAGCAGGCGAAGCTCGGTGCCGACATCCTGAACGAATCGGTGGAGGTGAAGCTGAGCGCCGACGCCCCGGTCGATGAGAGCCTCGCCGCCTGGTACGCCGAGGCGGCCGGCTACAAGATTCGCCACGTGCCGGCGAGGTTGCCCGATCTGATGAAGACCGAGGAAGTGCTGGACTACGAGTATCGCGAATTCGCCGCGAGATCCGCCGACCGGGCCATCGCCGTCTCCCACGGCCGCCTCGCCTATGTCCGGTTGCCGGAGACGGACATCGAGATCAGCCAGTCGCGCCAGTCCCTGGAATCCTTCACGCGCGGCGAGGGCGTCTGGCGCGATCTCCCGCTGGCGGCGCGGCGGGAGCAGCTCGATCACATGATCGCGTTGATGGACGAGCTCTACCCCACGCTCCGCATGTTCTTCTTCGACGGCCGCACCCACTTCTCCGTTCCCTATACGGTGTTCGGGCCGCAGCGCGCGGCGGTCTATGTCGGCCAGATGTTCTTCGCCTTCAACACGATCGAGCATATCCGCGTGCTCACGCGCCACTTCGATGCCCTGGTGCGGGCTTCGACCGTGCCGGCCCACGTGGCTGGCGACTTCCTGCGCGAGCTGCGGCTGGAGCTGGGCGGGGGCGTCTAGCCGCCCTGAAGGCCGGACTCTTGCCGCGCAGACCATGACCCCGGCGGGAATTCCGGGTAATGACCTCAGATCGAAACCGCATACGCTCGATCGGCGCGACTCTACGAACAGGGAAAGGTCAGGCCCATGCCACGCATCGTACGCTTCGCCAAACATGGTGGCCCAGAGGTCCTCGAGGTCCGCGAAGAGCCGCTCGAGGAACCGGGGGAGGGCGAGGTCCGCCTCAAGATCGAGGCGATCGGCCTCAACCGGGCGGAGATCATGTTTCGGGACGGCGCCTATGTGGCCACACCCACCTTTCCCTCCCGTATCGGGATCGAGGCGAGCGGCGTGATCGATGCGCTGGGGCCGGGCGTCACGGACTTCGCGGTCGGCGACCGCGCCGCCGCCGTGCCCTTCATCTCGTGGGACAAGTGGGGCAACTGGACCGCCGATTCGGTCATCAAGTACGGCGTCTATGGCGAGAGCGCGGTTGTGCCCGCGTTCTGCGTCGCCCGTAGTCCCGACGGGATCTCGGCAGTCGAGGCCGGCGCAATCTGGTGCCAGTATGCGACCGCCTGGGGCGGGCTCGTGGACTACGGAGAGGTATCGGCCGACGACATCGTGCTGGTCACGGCGGCGAGCAGCAGCGCTGCTCTCGGCGGGTTGCAGATCGCGAAGAACGCCGGCGCCACGGTCATCGCTGCGACACGCAGGTCGGACAAGGCAGATTTCCTGCGGGGCGCCGGGGCCGATCACGTAGTCGCCACCGAGGAGGAGGACCTGGAGTCCCGTGTGAAGGAGATCACCGGCGGCCAAGGATTCACCATCGCCTACGATCCGGTGGGCGGCGCCTTCATCGGCGATCTCGTCGCGGCAGCGCAGCCCTATTCCCTCATCGTCAACTACGGCAACCTCCGCACCGAGCCGATCGACATCCCCGTCCTGCCGATGCTCGCCAAGCGGCTGCGCTTCAAGTTCCACAGCCTGTACGACACGATGCGCCTGCCTGAGAAGCGCGCCGCCTGCTTCGCCTTCGTGCAGCACCAGGTGGCCAGCGGTGCGCTGAAGGTGATCGTCGACCGGACCTTCCCCCTCGAGGAAATCGTGGACGCGCACCGCTACATGGAGTCAAACGTGCAGATGGGGAAGATCGTCGTTACCACCTGACGAGCGGCAACTTGGCGTGCGCGGGCCGATGGGGCAACATCGCCCCTCCAATGACCCACGGAACGGACGGTATGGATGGCACTAGCCGCCGCTGAGAGAGGCCCGGCGCCCCCGTCGTTCGATCTTCGGCGCATTTTCGCCGACGCCAAGTTCTACTGGCTGGTGCTGCCGGCCTTCACCTTCTTCCTGATCTTCTTCGTCATCCCCACCGTCTCGCTGTTCCTGATCTCCTTCGACAAGTCGGTCGCGGGCGTGGTGGACATCCAGTGGGACTTCACGCTGAAGAACTACATAAGGTTCTTCAACCGCTCGCTCTACTACGAGGCGGCGATCCGTTCGATCGGGCTTGCGGCGATTGTCTCGGTCTGCGCGCTCGCGCTCGGCTACCCGCTGGCCTACTTCGTCGCCAAGACCAGGCATCCCGGGCGCAACACCTTCTACATGATCCTCGTGCTGAGCGCGATGCAGCTCGACATGGTGATCCGCCTGTTCGGCCTGATGGTGCTGATGGGCGACAACGGGATCATCAACGGCATCCTGCGTGACGTCGGCGCCATCCGCGAACCGCTGCCGCTCATGTACAATTTCTTCGGCGCGGTGGTCGGGCTCGTGCAGTTCACCCTGCCCTTCATGGTGCTCTCGCTGATCGGCATCATCAGGAGCATCCACCCCTCGCTGGAGGAGGCCGCGCGCAGCCTCGGCGCCAACCGCTGGACCACGTTCTGGCGCATCACCTTCCCGCTCAGCATGCCGGGCATCCTCGCCGGCACGCTGCTTGTCTTTGCGATCTCGATCTCGTCCTACGTGGTGCCGGCGCTGATGGGCGGTTGGAAAGTGATCGTGATGCCGCTCCACATCTACCAGCAGATCGCCGAGATGGGTAAGTGGCAGTACGGCGCGACCATCGCGGTGGTGCTCTTCGTCACCAGCATGATCGCGGTCTACATCTACCAGCGCTTCGCGGCGCGCACCGCAGGCGGGCGGGCCTGAGATGGCAGAGATGGTGACGGATACGGGGCCCGCGCCGCGCGGCGGTGGCTGGCTGCCCTTCGGCCGGCGGAACGGCCCGCGCGAGGAGCCGGCGGTCGCGTGGCCGCTCCAGATCGGCGCCTGGCTCGCCTTCGTCGTGCTGCTGCTGCCGGTGGTCATCGTGGTGCTGGCCGGGCTCAACTCCGGCGAGCACCTGACCTGGCCGCCGGAGGGGCTCTCGCTGCGCTGGGTATTCGCCTTCTTCGAGGCGAGCGAGTTCCTCGACGCCTATGTGTTCAGCCTGTGGCTCGCGGTGGTGGTCATGGTGATCTCCACCACGCTCGGCACCATGGCGGCGATCTTCCTGACGCGCATGACGTTCCCCGGCCGCAACCTGCTCAGGGCCTACTTCCTCTCGCCTCTGATCCTGCCGGGGATCGTGCTGGGCCTCGCGCTCTACGTCTTCTACGTATCCAGCGGCATCGGGCTCTCGCGCACGCTGCCGGGGCTCATCATCGGTCACGTGCTGGTGACGGCGCCCTATGTGATCGGCACCGTTTCGGCGGCGCTCTTCAACTTCGACATCGCGTTGGAGGAGGCCGCCCGCAGTCTCGGCGCCAGCCCGCTGACGGCGTTTCGCAGGGTGACGCTTCCGATCATCGGGCCGGGAGTCGCCGCCGGCGCGATCTTCGCCTTCATCGTGTCGTTCGGCCAGTTCGACGTCTCGCTCTTCCTGAGCACGCCGAACTATACGCCGCTGCCGATCGCGCTCTATATTTCGCTCAGGTACACCTTCGAGCCGACGGCGGCGGCGGCGGGCATCTTCGCGATCGCGCTGGTGGTGGTCTCGATGCTGCTCGCCTCGCGGCTCATCAACATCCGGCGCTTCGCCGGGAATCAAGTTCTCGTAACCGACGATGCAATCCACAAAGGGAGAATGAACGATGACCGGCAAGCGCATTTCCAAACCGTCGCGGCGTACTGTCCTCAAGGGACTGGCGGCGGGCGGCGCAGCGGCTGCCTCGACGCAATTCGGCCTCTTCAACATCAACCACGCCTGGTCGCAGGACGTGCACTGGGACGGCGAGCCCTTCGACGCCGGCGGCGCCACCTTCATCCTCGGCGAGTGGGGCGGCTTCTGGGAGGAGTTCGTCCGCGGTGCCGTGATCGAGAACTTCGAGAAGACCTACAACTGCACGATCGCCTACGATTCCTCGTGGCCCTGGTTCCCGAAGTACGTCGCCAGCGGGCCGAAGGACCCGGCCTTCCACATGTGCAACTGGAACCTGCCCGAGATGATGAAGACCGCGCGGGCCGGCGATTACTTCCTGCCGATCGAGGACATCAAGGCGAACGTGCCGAACGCGGCCGACTGCTGGGACTTCGCCTTCGCCAACGGCATCGGCGTGACCTGGGCCTTCGGCCAATACGCCTACGTCTACCGCACCGACCTGGTCGATCCGGCGCCCGCCGACTTCAAGTCCTTCTGGGAGGACCGCTTCGCCGGCAACCGCGCCACCTACATCACCTCCAACACTCTGCAGATGGTGTTCTTCATCACCGCCAACGCCGCCTGGGGCGAGGGGCCGGAGGACATGGACGCCGGCTTCGACGCCATGCGGCGTGCCATGCCGATGAAGATCAGCGACTTCACCGGCAACATGCAGACCCTGGTGGAGCGTGGCGAGGTGCACCTCGGCGTGCAGTGGGAAGGCGAGGTCTACCTGCAGATGGACAAGGGCATTTCCGTGGCCCCGTTGATCTGGGAGGTGCGCAAGCCGATTCTGACCCAGACCAAGACCATCAGCCGCTATTCCGACCCGATACAGAAGAAGCTCGCTCTCGCGCTGATGAACGAGACACTCGACCCGGCCTATCAGGAGCAGTGCGGCGGCACCTTCTACCTGCGCCCGACCAACGGCAAGGCGCCGGTGTCGGACAACCTCGCGAGCAAGGGTGTGGTCAACCAGGCTGGCGGGATGGAAGGGCTCTGGATCCCCGATTGGAACTGGTATCTCGACAACGAGGACGACATCGTCGAGACCACCAACGAGATCTTCGGCGGCTAGCGCTTTTTCCCGGGCGGCTGAACGGCACGGCACGTGTCGGACGTCGAGCTTTCGGGCCTGACGAAGCGCTACGGCGAGACCCTCGCGGTCTCGGATGTCTCGCTTCGGGTCGAGGAGGGAGAGTTCTTCTCCCTCCTCGGCCCGTCGGGCTGCGGCAAGACCACGACGCTGCGCATGATCGCGGGCTTCGTCCGCCCGAACGAGGGCCGCATCTTCATCGGCGGCGAGGACATGACCCTTCTGCCGCCGGAGAAGCGAGGGATCGGTATCGTCTTCCAGAACTACGCGATCTTTCCGCACATGACGGCGTTCGACAACATCGCCTTCGGCCTGAAGATGCGGAAGGTGCCAAAGCGGGAGATCCGCAGCCGCGTCGGCAAGGCCCTCGAACAGGTCAATCTCGACGGCTACGAGCGGCGCTATCAGCGCGAGCTTTCCGGCGGCGAGCAGCAGCGCGTGGCGCTCGCCCGCGTGCTGATCACCGAACCGAAGATTCTGCTTCTCGACGAGCCCTTGAGTGCGCTCGACAAGAAGCTTAGGGAGGAAATGAAGTACTGGATCAAGGGGCTGCAGCACTCCCTCGGCATCACCACCGTGTACGTCACCCACGACCAGGGCGAGGCACTCACCATGTCGGACCGGATCGCGGTGATGAACCGGGCTCGGGTGGTGCAGATTGGCGCGCCCGATACGATTTACGAGCATCCGGCCGACCGTTTCGTGACCGACTTCATCGGCGAATCCAACATCCTCGAAGCGCGGGTCGCGGCGGTGAGTGGGGATGAATGTCGCGTCGCCGTAGGCCGGGTCGAGTTCGCAGCACCGCGGCGCGACGGGATCGAGACCGGCCAGACGGTGGGCTTCGTGGTGCGGCCGGAGCGTGTGCTGATCGGCGCCGCCACCCAGGCTGTTGACGGTCCGAAAGTCACCGCGACCGTGGTCGATCGCAGCTATCAGGGCGCGATCATCCGCTACCGATTGCAGTTCGAAGGCCAGGAAATCGTTGCCGAGGTTCCCAACCGGCCCGATCAGCCCGATCTCGCCGACGGAGCCGAGGCCGTGATCGGCTGGACCGTGGCGAGCAGTGAATTGCTCGTCGACTGAACCCTGCGGCTCCCGCGCGCATCCCGCGGGACGCGCGCGAACATAAATCCATGCGGGATTCGCCGGGATTAAGTGGGATTAAGTGGGATAGGTGGGATTCTGGTGGCACGCGGCGGCCGTCCCGAATTCTTCTATCGTCGTCGCGGCGCCCGGATGGCAGCCGCTCGACCGACGAACGCCCGCTCATTCCATCTGCCGTATCCTGAGTGCGCTCGCGCTGCGTCGCGCGGATACGTGTGCGGGAAAATGAGCGACGCATGGCGCCATCCTGGCGCAGCCGGCGCGCATCGTGCACCGCACCATCGTCCGGGGCGAGGTGGGGGGATGAGGAGCAAAGTGGGGTGGAAATTCGGCCGCGCCGCGTTCAGACGAGCTCTTCGATCGGCGTATAGACGTCCGCGATCCCGAAATATTTTGGGCCGAACACGTCGAGCGCCTCGGGCGTGCGCATCACCGGCGGCACGCTGACGCCCACCACGCGCACCCGCTGGCCGTACTTGAGCCCCTCGGTGGTGATCGGCTCGGCGTTTTCCTGATCGAGGATGCAGATCAGGTCCGGCACCATGCCGAGCATGCGCTCGCCCTGCTGGGCGACCAGGAACTCGTTCTGGAAGCGCACCTCCAGTTGTTGCCCGGTGCTCCCGCCGATGCCTTCGAAGATCACCCGCCCGATGGCCCAGCCCCGCGTGGTCTCGCGCAACAGGTCCACCACCTTGCCTTCGAAGAGCACCTTGCAGAAGCGCTTGTCGCGCGAGGTCTCGAAGTAGCGCGCAAGCCCGGCGAAGGGGTCGCTCTGGGTCTCGCGCGCCTCGCGGATCGAGCGGCCGATCTCCATGGCGAGCGTCGTGGTGTAGAGCACGCCGCTTTCCTTCGCCTCCTTGCCCGACATGGCATAGAGCGCGATTTCCGCCTTGGTGCCCATGCGGGTGCACACCACCCGCGCGAACCATTCGGCTTCGAGATTGCTGCGGGCGCGCACGACGACCTCGTTGTCGTGCTCGTCGCGGAGCACGATGGGGGACGCCGGCACGCCGTAGACGCCGAAGGTGCACATCTGCAGCTCGGGGAAGGCGCGACCCATGCCGTCGCCGTCCACCACCGGCAGGCCGGTCATGGCGCCGACCACCATGGGGAGCGTGCCGTTGATGCCGCCGGCCTCGGCGGCGATCAGGGCGTCCGCCTTGCGGCCCTTCTCGCGCTCGATCGAGCGCAGGCATTTCACCATGGAGAAGCGCGCTCGGGATCTTCTCGACCATCACGGTCGGCGCGCCCATGTTGGCGACCGAGACGACGAAGTCGTCGTCGTCGAGGTCCATCGGGTCCATGATCGTGATGTCGGCGCCTTCCTCCAGCTTCTGCCTGAGGATCAGCCCGCCGACGTAGGGATCGCCGCCGCCGCCGGTGCCGAGAAAGGCGGTGCCGCGCAGGAAGTCCGGCAGCAGGTCGAGGTGCATCTTCATCGTTGGCATTTCCTTGCTTTCGCTCCTGCTTGCTCGCTGCTCAGCCTTAGGCGAGATCGCCCACCGCCTTGACCCGCACCCGGCAGGCGGCGCCCGGCAGGTAGGCGAGGGGGATCTCCTCGACCTCGATGATCTCGATGCTGGCGGGCGCGGCGCCGGCATCGACCGCCTTGGCCTGCGCCTCGTCCTTGGCCTGGGCGATGGCGTTCTCCCGCCCCTCCTGCTCATAGGAGAAGACGCGGTCGACCTCGCCGCCAACCTGGGCGATGGCGGCGCCGATGGCGTTGGCGACCGCCGAATGCTCGGGAATGCTGAGGGTCGAAACGCCGGCGAGTTCGCGCTCGATCAGGATGCTGCCGCCGCCCACCAGGATCGCAGGCACCGGCTCTGCGCTCGTCTTCATACGGTCGATCGCGTCCTCCACCATAACGTGGATTTTCTCGAGCGCACGCCCCACGGCCGCGCCGTCCAGCCCGGCGACGGCCTCACGGTCGCCGATATCGGCGAGGCCCGCCGCGACGGCGATGTCGGTGGCGGTGAGCGTGCGGCCGCCGAAGACCAGCGCCTTCTCGGTTAGCTCGAAGCCGACGGAATCGGGGCCGATTGTGACCGGATCGTCGCCCCGCACCAGGCTGCCGCCGCCCAGCCCGATCGCAAGCACGTCAGGCATGCGAAAATTGGTTCGCACCCCGCCGACATCGACGGCAACTGCCGATTCCCGCGGGAAGCCCCGGGCCAGCACGCCGACATCGGTGGTGGTGCCGCCGATATCGACCACCACGGCGTTCTCCTGGTCGGAGAGGAAGGCCGCGCCCCGCATGCTGTTGGTGGGGCCGGAGGCGAAGGTCAGCACCGGATAGCGCTCGACGTAAGCCGCGCTCATGAGGGTGCCGTCGTTCTGGCTGATGAAGAAGGGCGCCTCGATGGAGAGCGCCTTCAGCGCCTCGCCCAAACGAGCCCACCACCTTTGCGGAGAGCGAGACCAGGGCTGCGTTCATCACCGCCGCGTTCTCGCGCTCGATCAGCCCCACCCGGCCGATCTCGTTGGAGAGCGTGATCTGGGCTTCTGGGTGCTCGGCGCGAATGATCTCGGCGGCCCGGTCCTCCTGCGCACTGTTAAGGGGGGCGAAGACCGAGGAAATTGCGATCGATTCCAGACCTTTGTCGGCGATGTCGCGGGCGATGCCGGTGATCTCGGCTTCGTCGAGGGGCGAGATCTCGCGCCCGTCCACCTCGTAGCCGCCCTTCGCCATGTAGACATGGCGCCCGATGACATCCACCAGGTCGCGCGGCCAGTCGATCAGGGGGTTCAGGCTCTCTGTCGCCGGCAGCGCGAGACGAACGATGGCCACCGGCACCAGGCGCCGGCGCTCGACGATCGCGTTGGTGAACTGGGTGGTGCCGATCATCACCCCGGTGATGGCCTCGGGTGCGATCGCCGATTGGGCTATCACGCCCTCGATGGCAGCCACCACACCCGCGCCCACATCGGCGGTGGTCGGCGCCTTGATGGAAGCGGCGACTGTTGCGCCGTCCATCAGGACCGCATCGGTGTTGGTTCCGCCGACATCGACACCAATTCTCATGCCCACGCCCTCCGAATCGTGCGGGCGCATCCTAGCCCGGAATTCTCGCCGGGGTCATGGTCTGCGCGGCACTTTCCCGCCGGCATGATCCACGTCATACCGGAGGCTGAGATTGCTCGCTTAAACTGCACAATCCCGAACTGGCACGGTCCTCGGGCCCAGGTGCCAGGCAACGGTCGTCGCGGAGAAGGAGGCTTGACCATGGCGTACAAGGAAATCGTCGTGCACGTGGGTCCCGACGAGCGGTCGGCGGTGCGGCTCGATGCCGCAGTCGAGCTGGCCGAACGCCACGAAGGCAAGGTGACCGGCAGTCTACGTGCTGTCTCGTCTCATCGTCCCCGGTTTCGCCAGCTTCGAGCTCTCCACGGAGGTCTACAAGCGGCTGGATACCGAACAGCGTGCGCTCGCCGAAGAAGCGGAGCGGCAGTTCGCAGAGCGGATGGCGAAGTCGACGGCGCCGTCCGAATGGCGGCTCACGACGGGCGACCCCGTCGATGCGGTCACGACGAGCGCGCACTACGCCGACATCGCCGTCGTCGGCCAAAACGACCCCGACGATGCCAACAGCCTCTCCGGGTTGGCAGACAGCGTGGTACTCGGCGCGGGCGGCCCCGTGCTGGTCTGGCCCTACGCCGGCTCGTTCAGCGCCAACGCGGAGACGGTCATGCTCGCCTGGAACAGCACCCGCGAGGCGAAGCGTGCGCTCTCCGACGCGCTGCCCATCATGCAGCAGGCGAGCAGGGTTATCGTCCTCGGCATCGACACCGGCGACGGCAAGCACATACCGGGCGCCGACGTCAGCGCATACCTGGCACGGCACGGGGTCAGCGCAGAGGCCCGGCACACGATCAGCTCGTCGGACCTCGGCGCCAGCGACGCCCTCCTCTCCGAGATCAGCGATCTCGGGGCCGGTCTCCTCGTCATGGGTGGCTACGGCCATCACCGCATGCGGGAGGTTCTGCTGGGCGGCGTGACCCGCGACATCCTGCGCCAGATGACCGTGCCGGTCGTGATGTCGCATTAGCCGGGAGGCTGTGACCGAGGCGGCCTAGTAGTCGCGAAGCTCGGAGGCTTCGGTTGCGGCCTTCGCGCCGCCCCGCATCCGCCCGCTGGTCCAGACGCCGAGGATCGTCGCGAGATAGGGCAGCGAAAGCAGCACGTCGTGGGGAATGCTCGCGCCGAAGAGAAGCTGCAGCCTGATCCCCGCGACGCCCACCAGGCTGAAGAACATCGCGGCGAAGGCAGCACCGATGGGGTGGGACGCGCCGAAGATGACGGCGGCGAAGCTCATGAAGCCCCGTCCCGCCGTCATGTTCTGCGCGAAGATGTGGAGGCCGCCGGCCGCGAGCTCGGCGCCGCCGATGGCGCAGAGGACACCGCCTGCCGCGAGCGCGATGAGGCGCGCGCGGGCCGGATTGGTGCCGACGCTGCGCGCTGCTAACGGATGTTCGCCGGCGGCGGCGAGCCGCAGGCCGAAGCGCGTGCGCCGCAGCAGCACCCACATGCCCCAGACGACGAAGGGCATCATCAGCACGAAGATGGAGAGCCCGCCGTAGGTGCCAAAGGCATCGCCGAGCCGGGGCACGCCGAAGGGCGCGGTCACCGCCGCGAGGCTGCCGAAGAGAGCCTGAACGGCCAAGGCCGTGCCGCCGATCCCCAATCCGGTCAGGCCGAGTCCTGCGATGATCGGATTGGCGCCCAGCTTCTCGATCACGAACCAGAGCAGGACCGAGGCGGCGACGCAGAGCACGCAGGCGATCGCAATGGCGGCCGGGAACGAGCCGGTGAGCACGATGCCGAGGATCGTGGCGCAGGCGCCGATGATCATCACGCCCTCGAGGCCCAGGTGCCAGACGCCCGCACGCTGCGCGATGACGCCTGCCATGGTGACGTAGACCAGCGGGGTGCCCGAGCGCAGGATCGCCACCATGAACTCGTGAAACTCGGTCATGTGGGCAGCTCTGGCTGCCCGCAGGAGGCGGTCCAGCAATCCCGACTTCGCGGTGATGAAGAGCGCGACGGAGGCGTTGAAGATATCGATGGCGGCGGCCGGAAGGCCGGCCAGGATCGGCAGATAGAGCGCGGCGTACGCAAGGCCGCCAAAGAAAATGCTGACGACCGCCGTCGCGAGCACGGAGAGGTTCGCGACCAGCGCGATCAGCACAGCGGTGAAGCCATGGCCCGGCAGAAATCCGCTGGCGATGCGCCCGGTGGGGCCCAGCAACTCGACGGTGCCGGCGAGCCCGGCGAGCGCCCCTGAGATCAGGAAGCTCGAAAGACCCAGCGTCCAGAGCCGCGCCCCCTGAAAGCGCACCATGGTCGGATTGCGCCCGGCGAGGCTCGCGAGCATGCCGAAGGGCGTGCGGTTGACCAGCACCCACATGGTGAGCGCGACGACGGCGGCGATACCGATGATGGCGGGCGAGATGCCCTGGGAATCGCTGATGCGGTAGAGCGCCGGCAGCATTGGGCTCGCTGCCTGCTGGCCGGTGCCGGACGGGTCCTTGAGCGGACCAGAGGTGACGTAGACCAGCACAAGGGCTGCGATGAAGTTGCCCATGAGCGTCGTGATGACCTCGTCGGTGCCCGAGCGGAGCCTGAGATAGCCCGGCCAGAGCGCCCAGAGCGCGCCGCCGGCCATGCCGGCGAGGAAGGACGCCGGTAGCACCACGGCTGCCGACGCACCGCCGAGCAGATCCGTGACGAAGGCGGCCGAGATGGCGCCGATATAGAACTGGCCCTGCGCGCCGATGTTGAAGAAACCGCAGCGGAAGGAGATCGCGACACCGTTGCGGTGATGAAGAGCGGCAAGGCCCAACGCAGGCTCTGCGCCCAGCCGCCCGCGCGCAGGAAGGCGCCTTCGACGATGGCCTCGAACATTAGCAGGGCCGAGTAGCCCGCAAGCTCGAAGATGACGCCGCAGAGTGCGAGCGCGAGCACGATGAAGGCGAGTGTGCGGATCACCGCGCCCGCGCGGATGTTCATGCCGCTCACGCGGACGCCCCGGTCATGGCGCGGCCCACTGCGTTGAGGTCGTAGGGCGGCGCGAACGCGCCCGCGATGCGGCCGGAGAGCATGACCACCAAGCGGTCGCTGATATCGAACAGCTCGTCGAGATCGGACGAGATCAGCAACACGCCGCAGCCCTGCCCGGCCGCCTCCCGGAGCGCCGACCAGACGAAGGCCGTGGCGCCGATATCGAGCCCGCGCGCCGGCTGGGCTGCGATGATAAGGCGCGCATCCTTGTCGATCTCGCGCGCGAGGATGATTTTTTGGGCGTTGCCGCCGGAGAGCGCGCCGGCGTTCTGGCTCGCCGACGCGTAGCGCACCCCCCAGGCCTTGAGGGACTCATCGCATCGCCGTTGCAAGGCGGCCGGGTCGACGAAACTGAACAGCGGCCTTTGAAGAAGCTCGCGGACCGACCAGTTCTCCCAAAGCGCGCTGGTGAGGCTCAGGCCCTCGCTGTTGCGCTCGAACGGGATGACCCGCAAGCCCAGCGCGCGGCGTTGGGCGGGGCTCGCGCGTCGCGCGTCTGTGCCGCTCAGGTGGATGTCGCCGCCCGTGACATCGGCGAGGCCGGCGACCGCCTTCACCAGAGTCCGCTGGCCGTTGCCCTGAACCCCGGCGACCCCACGATCTCTCCCGGCGCGACACTGAGGGAGACGCGGTCCAGAGCCGGGTCCTCCGGCTCCTTGGCCGTGCTGAGCGATGCGAGCGTGAGGACCGCCCCGCGCGAGGCGGGTGGCGGCTCCTCGTGTGTGTCGCGGTGTGTGTCGCGCGCCGCCGCGCCTCCGAACTGCGTCGCCCCGACGAGGGCGGCTGTATCGTCGGCGTCGGCTGAGGCAGCCGTGGCCCCGCCGATAATCATCTCGGCGATACTCGTCTCGTCCGCCCCGGCCCGGGGGAGGGGGCCGGCGACCAGCCTGCCGCCGCGCAGGACCGAGATCGTGTCAGCGACCGCCAGCACCTCGCGGATCTTGTGCAGGATCAGGATCACCGTGACCCCGTGCCGCCTGAGCCCGCGAATGCGCTCGAACAGCGCCTCGATGCCGGAAGGCGGGAGCACCGCCGTCGGCTCGTCCAGGATCAGCACGCGCGCGTCGGTGACCAGCGCACGGGCGATCTCCACGCCCTGCTGCGCCTCGACCGGCAGGTCGCGGATGCGCCGGCGCGGATCGACGTCGAGGTCGAGGGCGGCGAGACGGTCGCGGCAGCGCCTCAGGAGCTGGCGCCGTCCGTAGAGGCCGATACCGCCGCTGGCGCCGAACTCCAGCGCCTCCGCCACGGTGAAGGAGGGGGGCAGCGCGAAGCTTTGGTGAACCAGCTCGACCCCGGCCGCCCGTGCGCCGGCGACACGGCCAAGGCGCAGCGGGCGCCCATCGATATGGAGCGAGCCGGCGTCGGGCCGGACGAGACCGGCCGCGACGCGGGCGAAGGTCGTCTTGCCGGCGCCGTTTTGGCCCACCACGGCGTGAATGGCGCCGCGCTCGAAGGCGATCGAGAGCTCGGCGAGTGCCGTGACCTCGCCGTATGTGACGCGAATCCCGCGGCAGTGGAGGGCCGGCGGGTCCGCAGCAATCATGTGTTCCGAGAGGGTTTCCCCCCTATGGCCTGGATTAGAGTTCCGTGTTGAACGGCACCGCGACCGATCCGTCGAGGATACCCGCGCGCGCCGCCTCGACATGTGGCCATGCGTTTGCCGACCGTGCGACGGTATCCTTGGGCCCCTGCTCCTGATAGAGCGGCGACAAGAGGAAATCGATCACCCCGCTGCCGAGGCCGGTCGGCACATGCCGGCCACCCTGCCAATCCGCGCCGAGCGCGGCGCTCGCCTCGTTGTGGAGCGACTGGCCGAAGTGCAGGCTCACGACCCCGATCACCGAGGCGGGACCCAGCGGGTATTGAGCCGGGTCGAGGGCGCTCACCATGGCGCCCTCGCGCTCGTTGGCCGCCTGGATGATGCCGCCGTCGGTCGCGGCGGAATCGGTCTGGATATAGTCGATCCCGTCCAGGAACATCTGGCTCGCGATCTCGTACCCCTTGGCCGGGTCCTGGAAGGAGCCGGCGAAGGCGGCGGTTACGGTTGCCTCCGGGTTGACCGCGTGAACGCCGGCCTGGAGCGCGTTGAAGTCGGCGTTGAGCGGCGGAATGCTGATGCCGCCGATATAGCCGATCTGCTTCGACTGCGAGACGTGGGCGGCGAAGATGCCCGACAGGTAGCAGCCGAGATAGTAGTCGTAGGAGATCGTTACCAGGTTCGCGATCGGCGGGTCGACCGCATCGCCGAAGAGCTGGATCCACTTGGTGTCGGGATAAAGCGGCGCCACCGCCTTGAAGGCCTCGGAGATGACCGGGAAGGTGCCCAGCACGATGGAAGCCCCCGGCATCGCCGAGGATTCTGAGCACGGTCTCGTAGGTCGCCGGGTCCTGGGCGTAGATGGCGCGGGTCTCGAATCCCTCCGCTTCGTGAGAGCTGCTGCAGGCGCCCCATCATGGAATCGATGGGGCCGCTGTCACCCGCCGCCTGGGTGTGCACGAGCGCGACCAGGCCGCGTCCCTGCGCGTGCGGAGAGCGAAAACCCACCGCCCGCGCCGACAGCTGCCGAGACTCCTGCAGTTACCGCCAGAAATCGGCGGCGGCTGACGAGGGCACGCATCGCACTCCGATCCTTCAACGTCGGCTTTGTTCGACATGACCTTTCTCCTCCTCTCCCAAGGGCGCCCACTGCGCCCTTCTGTTCATCGTGGGCAAGCCCCACGAGGCGAAACCACCGGGCTACACGACTCATGCGCCGATCGGCGGCGAGCACGGCGCCGGGTTCATCATCATCACGTCTTGTTCCTGGATCGCGTCGAGCGCCCACACCGACTGGATGAAGGCCTGCCACGCGGGGTCCGCCGTCATCGCCGCCCGTCGCTGCTCGCGATCGGCAAGGCTCTCGTAGGCCCAGATCAGGACGATCCGGTGCAGGCGACCGATCTCCGAGACGTAGAGGCCGACGAAGTGGCCGAGATGGCGCTTCTGGATCGGCAGGCCTTCCGTCTCGTAACGCTTCAGCCAGCCGTCCACCGTGCCGGGACGGAACGCGTAGGTCCGATGCTCGACGATCATTCTCGGTTTTCCTCGGATGGTGCGTCTACGGCCGGCGCGGCGCCGCGAATGAACTCGGCCGCCTTCTCGCCGATCATGATGGCGGGCGCGTTGGTGTTGCCGCTGACGATGACGGGCATGACCGACGCGTCGGCGACCCTGAGCCCCGCGATGCCGTGGACGGCGAGACGGGCGTCCACCACCGCCATCGGGTCCCAGCCCATGCGGCAGGTGCCGACGGGATGAAAGGTCGTCATCGCATTGGCGCGGAGCCAAGCGGTAAGCTCTTTGTCGCTCTGCATATCGCCGCCGGGCGCGAGTTCGCGGCCGCGATAGGCGGCGAAGGCCGGCTGCCCGATGACGTCGCGGATCATGCGGATGCCCGCGATCGTCGTCCGGCAATCGGCATCGCTCTGCAGGTAATTGGGCTGGATCAGCGGCGGCACGGCGGGATCGGCGGAGCGCAGACCGATCCACCCCCGGCTCTCAGGGTTGAGAGGGCCAACGCGCAGGCTGAATCCATGGGTGTCCTCGACCGGCGCCTTCTTGAAGGGCGCCGGCAGGTGCAGGTTCGCCGTCTTCTCCAGCGCCGGCATGAAGTGCACCTGAATGTCCGCCGCCAACAGGTCCGCCCGGCTCTTGAGGAAGGCGCCGGCTTCGTAGGGGAAGGTCGTCGCCACCCCGCGGCCGAAGAGCATCCCCTCGGCCACCGAGCGGATCATCCTGTCGGCCCGGAGGTCGCGGTAGAGGGTGACCGGCTTCGTGCAGGCGTAGGCGAGGACGCAGTCGACGTGATCCTGCAAGTTCCGGCCGACGCCGGGGAGCTCGTGAACCACCGGGATGCCGTGCCGCTTCAACTCTTCGCCGGGCCCGATGCCCGAGAGCATGAGGAGCTGGGGCGAGTTGACCGTCCCGGCGCAGAGGATGACCTCGCGCTCCGCGTGGATCGTGCGCGTTGCGCTTCCCTCCGCCACCTCGACTCCGGTCGCACGGCCGCCGTCTAAGACCACGCGGCGCACCAGGCAGCCGGTGGCGATCGCCAAATTGCGCCGATGCCGGATGGGGCGCAGAAAGGCGGCGGAGGTGGAGCAACGTTTGCCCCGCCTGATGGTGAAGTCGTAGCGCCCAAAACCCTGCTGCTCCGCACCGTTGAAGTCGTCGTTGACGGGCCAGCCGGCCTGACGGCCCGCCTCGACAAAAACGTCGAACAGCGGGTTCGCACCGCGTGCGCGGCAGACCGTGAGCTCGCCGCCTGTCCCGTGATAGGCGCCGTCGCGCTCTACATGCCCTTCGGAGCGGCAAAAGGCCGGCAGCAGGTCGTCGTAGGACCAGCCGCCAAGGCCCATTTGCGCCCAGCGGTCATAGTCGTGGCGGTTGCCGCGCACGTAGATCATGCCGTTGATGGTCGAGGAGCCGCCCAGCACCTTGCCGCGCGGCCAGTAGAGCGCGCGGCCGCCCAGGCTCGGCACCGGCTCGGTGTGGTAGCGCCAGTTGTAGATGCCGGAGTGGAACAGCCGACCCATCAGCATGGGCAGCCGGAACAGGGGGTTGCGGTCCTTGCCGCCGGCCTCGATGAGGAGGACCGAACGTTCAGGGTCGGCCGAGAGCCTGTTGGCGAGCACGCATCCGGCGGAGCCCGCACCGACGATGATGGAGTCGAAGGCGCGATCACGCGGCATCGGCTACCAGTCCACCGGTGTCGCGCCCATGGCCCGCAGCCGCCGGTTGCAGAGCGCGAACGGGTTCTCTTGCGCGAGGACCTCTCGGGCTTGGGCCGGGTGGGGGCGAAGGATGACGCGCTCGTCACCCGCGTCAGGCCCTTGCAGTCCCGCCGCGCGGAGCGTCTCCGCCGCCGCATCGCCGAATCCCAGGAAGACGACGGGTGTGCCCCTCTCCGCGAGATGGGTGAGCACCCGGATCATCAAGGGGCGCCAGAGCGGCAGGTGGCCCTGCATCTGGTGCGGATCGCCCTCGCGCAGGAAGCGCGTGAGCGTGAGCGATGAATTGAGGAGCAGCACGCCGGAGGCAACCCAGCGATCGGCCAGCGCCTCGGGCGCCTCCAGATCGACCGCGCCCTGTTCGATGGCCGCGAGAGTCGCGGGCCACTGCGCGACGCCTTGGGCGTGCCGCGCCTCGCCGGTCCGCGCGTCGAGGATCATCTGGATGAACGCGCGGACGCTCGGGGAGAACATCTTGTCGAGCTCCCGCCAGCGCGCGACGTTGCCGGCCTCGAAGGCCCGGCCGGTGGCGAAGGCGGGGCAGGGATAAGGGTCCTGCCCCAGGATCACGCAGCGCACATCCCCGGGCGCGATCCCATCGAAGGCGCGGAGCATGTGCGCGCCTGCCGGCGCGCCGGGGAAGACCATTCCGCGCCGAGCCGGGAAGATCGGCTCCCACGGCTCCGATTCGAGCGTGGGGTCGACATCGTCGAATGCCAGCGAAACAGTGCGGACGACAGCGCGCCAGGGAGGATCGATATCCTCGCGCCAGCCTCGCAGCGTGTCTTGGAGCGCCGCTCGCAGTGGCATGGCCATGGCGTCCGCTTGCTCCCGCCCGTCCCGAAAACCTGACACGCGTGTCAGGTTCAACGATTCGGTAACCTGACACGCGCGTCAAGTTTTTTCTTATGTCCCATCTGGATCAGGCGGCTAGACTGCATGCGTCGCCGGCATACGCAGGGAGCACCCTGCGATACGAGGGATGAGCATGACGAAGACGATGCGGGCAGAAGCGGGAAACGACGCCCACGGAGCCGAGAATCCGGGCAGGACAAGGAGCG